TCCACATATTTAATCTTCAGAATCATGAAATGAAAGAATAAAAATTGGTAGCATGTTACTTTTCATAGACATTGCACACACACACACAAAAAACTTAACATTATTGATTGTTTTGGGGGCATAGTAAACATATTAGCAGTCTGTAGCATTCTTATCCTGTGTCAATGTGTCTGTTCCATGCCTTCTTCGTATCCAAGCAGTGGTAAAGTTCTCGGTCAATCACATTCTACAGGCAGACAAAGATTAATTCTGAACGAAGTATCGACATCTATAAGGCCAAGGCTATCCTTTTTTAATACTATGCAATATACATGCAATAGACACAATCACATACGTGTACAGGGAAATGGGAGCATATTAAATGCCATAATGTAATAGTATGTATATGCCCTACTGGTTCAGGATTTTCTGATACACATAATATGAGATGCATGGGATTAAATCCAGCGCACCTGTTAAACAGTGTAAGAGCCTCTTTTGACAACAACATAACACCAAATACACCAAGTTTTCTCAGAGAAAAAACATTGTATATCAGATGCAAATTAGTGTCTTTTAATTCTTGTCACCATGGTGGGTATGAAATTACTTCCATTAAGGTTTCCAATCATCGAAATTGTAATGCAGTTATAATTCTGTTTCCTCAAGCCAGGAGAAATGAAATTTGAGATGGGGATTAACAAAATCTAAGGTAATGTGTTGTCCCCCCAAAGCAATTGTAGAGGGTGCAAACAGGTGCTTCCTCGCTGGCCAGCAACAGATGTACTTTCTATTTCTAGCTTGACCCCTCTTTAATTACATGTATTTACAACACATTTCTGTAGACGTTTATTTTTGAACGTGTGAGCGGTGAAGCGTTATAGCTTTTCTTTAGTATTTTTCTATCCTTCCATTGCAAAACTGATGAACTGGAAAAAAAAATATTGACAGAATTTGTGCTCAGGCTTTTTTGCAGGTCATACATCGAATTGGCCCACTCTATCCATCATCTTTTACCATGTTTGGGGGGGGGGGGCATATATGCAGGGGAAAAAAGGAGAAAATCTGACTTGTTTTAATACCTGCTCAGAGGCCGTTTGAATACCTGCTTAGAGGCGGGACATGCATGGCTTAGATGCCTTCCCTTGACCCCATTTTCCACTTCAGAGATTAGTAGCGCTCTCTTTCTTTCCTGCCTGACATCGATTCAATAATTGGTCTAACTACTGGGAGGTCTGATACATTTAGGAGTAAATGAGTCGTTGCATTGACCATGACATTTCATGTTCTATTGAATTGTCTACACTCGACAGACTGTGTCTATGCAGGTAAATGCAGGTAGTTATATGTGCCTTTGTACTGGGTGAAGAAAAAAAAATGATAGAGGAGAATGGTTAGCTCTGAAAAACTGAAAAACAAGCTGAAGAAAACTGAAATATTGCTCTTGTTAAAAAAAAGGAGAAGATTACAATAAATTAAAAATCACTGCAAGGAAATCTCACATATTTTGCACCAAATAGAGAACTCCTGTTAATAAACGCTATTTTGTACATAATAAGTGCCCATATTTATTCATGCAAAGGGAAAGCAGTGATACCTGTGTTAGACTAATTCTACATCTACTATAGATGAACCTACTGATGAATGGAAGAAAGAAACAAAAATGGGATACTGTCTTTCTATTTCACTTAAGCTATTACATATTTTACAGGTTATATGCAATGCATCTAAGCAATCATGCCTCTCTCTTTTAAATAGCTAGAATACATCTCAGCTGACTAGTTCTACATCTACTTTTGATAGATTGAAGAAACAAATCTAGATTAGAGTTGCAATTTTTAGTCTCACCTTAGCAACAATCCTTTCCTTCTCCCCATCTCCATCTATCATGACTCTACATTCTGTTGAGGTTGAATATCATGTTTGACTAGTTCTACATGTACTACTGATAGATTGAGGAAATAAAAGACTCCAGATTAGAGTTAGTTTTTAATTTCACTTTTTATAACAATCCTTTGCTCCCCCCTCCTAATCTATTATACATCTACATTATGTTGAAGTTAAATTTCATGTTTGCCTAGTTCTACATCTACTACTGATATTTTGAGGAAACTAAAGATTCCAGATTAGAGTTGTGATTTTTTATCTCACTTTAGTAACGATCCTTTGCTTCTCTTTCCCATCCCCATCTATTAAACATCCACATTATGTTGAAGTTAAATTTCATGTTTGCCTAGTTCTACATCTACTACTGATATTTTGAGGAAACAAAAGATTCCAGATTAGAGTTGCGATTTTTAATCTCACTTTGGTAACAATCCTTAACCCCCCCCCCCCCTCCTCCATGTATTATGCCTCTTCATTCTGTTGAAGTTGAATATCATGTTCGACTAGTTCTACATCTACTATTGATAGATTGAGGAAATAAAAGACTTTAGATTGGCATTGCTTTTTCAATCCTACTTTAGATGCATTTTTACAGCATTGTAAAGGCAAGTTATCAATCATCCGCCTTCCTGTGTGGGTGGTTGCATTTTCTCATGACTTGTCTCGCTCTACCTCTACTTCTGATTACCATTTTGAGAGAGAATGAAAGACTATTGATCAGCCAAGCTATTTTTATTTAATCTAGTAACCTGCATTGTTAACAGGGTCATGGCATCTCATTTTAGCAGGATTATGTTTTGAAATGTGAAGGAATAGAAGATGTCATTTCTTCATTGTCACAGTAGCTACCTGTTACACATTAGCTAACTTGTACCTTTATGTTGAAAGCAAATATACATGCTTTCTTGTATGAAGTCTAATAGAATTTATAGGAGTCTTGTCTCAAAAGTACAGGCCTAATCTTGTTTTCTTTCACACCAAAAGACATGATTCCTCAAATTAAATCTGAAGGTGATTGATTTATTCTGGAGAAGCTACGAAACAGAATTTAAGCATCTGTTTGTTGGTCTAGATAATCAAACTCTTCAAAGCGACATATGTGCTTGCCAAGGAGACCACATACGTCTATGTTTATCCTCTTCATGTACCCCAATAAGTAAGACATAGACTCGCTCTGAAACATGCTTTCTTCTTGGTCATGAGTAACATGGCCACTTAAGATGAACATTCTTCTCTCCGCCCCATCTTCCCCGCATCCATAATATCATTAAACCGACTGGCTAGGCCTAGGCCGTTGCCGTGCACTTGATCCTTTGACCTTTCTCAGCATCCCGTCTGCCAAATGTTGAGCAATTTATATCCATACAAGTAAATAGTGCAAAAGTGTGGAGAAATACATGACTGGCTCTGGTACACATCTACCCGAAGATTTCTTTGGGGCGAGTCCAATGTATGTAAATTAAAGAAGGTTTAGTTCTGGGAAAGGCGAAAAATTATTTGTTTTTTTATTCTCTTTGTATTCGATTGAAAGAATATCATAGAAAAAAATGTCCCCTAAAAAGATGTCTCTTGAAATGCCATCTTATTCAAAATATGACAAGCAATGATTAGAGTGTTTGGATGAAACATTCATGCTACATGTTTGTGTAGTCCCGGACACATATTTCTGTGTTCAGTGCATATAGTTTCTTATTTTGATGCTTCCAAAACCTGACAGTATACACCAATTTATTCATAATGCAATCTCATGACCATAACTCACTTTATCTTTAATTGTGTACATGATTAGTATTAGATGGACCATGATTTTTGGTATGATATATCTGATCCAAAACTACATTAAAGCTATCAACTGAATACAGTCATCAGTCAGGTACACAAAGGACAACTTTCTTTGATGAAGTCAGCATTAGCATATTGGACAAAAAAAACCTTGGCCTTGCCCTTTAAATAGTAGTATAGTCAGTATTTTGAATGGATTGCTGTTTCCTTTCTTGTCTATCTGACTGAAATTGAGACAAATGTTTCTACACCATGTACAGAGTGATATAAAAGCTTCTGAAGTGCCACAGGCATTGTCTGGGTATATATAGAAGCAATTAATTTAGTGTTTCCCAGCCTTGTAAAGCTTGTAAAGCAGCCCTACCAGGGAAAGAAATAAGCCAATTGAAATGTAGGGAGAGAGAAGATGATATCATATTGTGTGAGTTGGTATAGGGACACGGAAGGAAAAGGAATGGGGGTGTTCATTTCAAAATAAAAACATGATTAGATTTTACCCAGAGTTGAAGAAAAATTACCTATGGAGAACAGGTGATGTGACGGCATTATAAACAATTTGGAGAATGGGTGATACGAAAATAATGATATAACAGGAGGGGTAGGATTCTGATGAGTGGGACATATAGAGAGGAGTACAAGAGTGAATACAATGATTAAGAGAATATAGAATGAGAGAAAAGGGCTCGTAGGAAGTGAATTCATTATATTCAAACATTCAGGAAAGAAGAAAAAACAGACCAAGTTTTGAAAGAAGTCTTTTGGATAGGTCGAGACCCTTAAACAGACACCAACTTTTGATGTGGTGAAATTTGAATGGGATCTGTTTGCTTCCCTCTTGATAAGCTGAACTCTTCTTATGCCATCTTTAAACAAAATTGATGGATGATGTTAACTTGTATTTTACGTATTGTGTAACACTGTTGTCTTTAGTGGTAGAATTTTAATAGGATATGTTTGCTTTTCTCTTGATAGCAGAAGCTTATGCTGTCTTTTAAAAAATTTTTTTTTGATGAATGGTGATAAAAGGTTTTTAAAAGTTGTGTAACACTACCATCTTTGATAGAAAAGCCAAGGATAACCACCACAAAATTTATTTTCTTTGTATCAGAGTAACAATATGATGGGCTGTTTTGATATGCTGTTGAATAAGACATATCTCTTGAATATTTATCACTGACATGTACCGTATCGCTTTTTGTTTGAGGGTTTATGTACTGTATTTATATCCATGTACACAAAATGTCTACAGAATGTCTTTCTCCTTTTTATTTTCTACTCAATAACCAATATATGATTAAAAAAACAAATGATTTAACCAGGAACATTTTTTTAATCTCCTCTTTTACTTGTAGGTCATCATGCCATCTACGTTGGTGTCCACGTTCCACACAATGAGGAGCAGCAGCAGAAAAATCACCATCACCACCATCACAAGCACCGCCACAAAGGCAAGAGTAAAAAGAACGGCAGCTCCCACAGCAGTGCCAACAACAGTAGTTCCACTGCAGATGCATTCTTTCCAAACAGCGACCCAGATGCAAGACCAGATGCCCTACTTCTGGATAAAAACGGTACCGGTAATGAATCAAAACCATGTTGAAATTTCTTTTAAAGCTTATCTGTACTAGTTTTTAGAGGGATTAGACCACACTGCAAGGACAGGGGGTTATCTCATCAAATCAGCTCTCAATTAACATAAGAAAAAGAGGATCATGGGGGACCAATGGTCACCGATTAGGCATTGTTTTCTAAATAGAGGGAGCAAGTAGCTACAAGTAGGACAGTGTGGCTTTAATTGACTGATAAGAAAGCAAGTTCTAAGTTCTTGCTTGTAGAAAAACAACCAGTGGACCTACGGGACTTGGTTATTGAGCCCCAATTATGACATCAACTTTGTTTGAATCCGGTACCTCCTGGTCATGAGACTACTTATCTATCTCTGAAGTCATTGTCATATCTATTCCAGGGGATTCTCAAGGCACATACAAATTACGATTATTGCTGGCAGTGTCTTTTTACCAAGCTGCCAAGGCACTCAAACAGTTAAGCAATATCTCCAAGGCCTGAGGGTTTTCCAATTGATGTAATTGCAACAATATGTGCTTCTTATCAGCAGCAATAGAATCCCGAAATATTAGATTCAGTTTATAAATGACTTGATTTTTTCCCCCTAGGTTTCTGGAATTTGATAGAATGCCAACTTCATGATTCTCCTTACCCAGAGAGGTGCTGTTGAAAAAAAAAATTGCAAGAAATTAAAAAAACAGTGTACATGAAAGAAGTAACAAATGTTTTACAGCAGCAATAACAAGACAGCACAGAAATTTCCTTTCACGAATCTACCCACATCCCTCCAAAAAATAATTGTCTGTGTGTTCTTTACAATTTGGAAAATCCTTTCTTTCATTCTTGAAACACACAATATTTATTATTTTGCTAGACATATCACTGCATCCATCCAGTGTGATCATATTGATATATCTGAACAGGCATTTAATTAGTGTGCTGCAGAAGAGTTTTTATCTTTGAGTATTTTCTGCACTGAACCATCATCTGGGAAGCGTTTCACAAAGCTTTTTTTCAATGACAAATAATAAAAGTCAGTGACAAATCTGCTGATAACCAATCAGAAGCAAGGATTTCAGTAGCTTATAACAAAAAGTGTAATTTGTCACTGATGAAAAGTTTTGTGAAACTCCCCCCCTGATCCTCCCCATCCTCTCTACTTGCAGGAGATGCTTCCCAGAGAGTGAAATTCATCCTGGGTGATGAAGCCGATGACGGTCATGAATCTCATGAGATCTTCACAGAGATGGAGGAGCTGTGCTATGGGTCAGATGGAGAGGAGCTGGAATGGAAAGAGATGGCGAGGTAGGCAGTATTTGAGCATGCTGAGGATAAGGTCTTCTAGATAGGGTCAGGATTAGGGTCAGTGGGGGAGGTGGAAAGGAAAGATACACAAAGGGAGGCAAGAATTTAGTTTACTCTAGGTCTCAGCAATCAAGATGAGAGTACATCTTTCAACAATAAAAATAAAGAACAAATATTTTTTTTTTTTTCTTTCTGGCTGAGAGACAGGGCAAGTCAAAGTTTGCCGACATCCTATTGAAACGCATGTATGTATAAAAAATTAAACTGTTTTTCAATGGGATAAGGGGCAAACTGGTCCTTATCGTCTGTTGGAAGCCAGAAGGGCGTTAACTCTGTGTTAAAGTATATGAGTTATTGCACTTATTGCTCCAAGCATACATCATGATGGTTTTGTGAAGCAATGCCCAGAAGGGTAACTGTCCAGAGTTTCAACCCTTCTGGTTCTGAGTATACAATTCATTGATGATATTCTTAAAAAGAAGGTTGAGTTCTAGGAAGACATGACTAATAATTTTTGAGTGTTATCATTGTATTATGCAAGTGTGGAAGAACATCAGAGAAAAAATGTACCCTGAAAAGCATGGCTCTTCAAATGCCTTAATTTTCTAAACATGGTATGTTTAATCATAAAAATTGGGACTCATTTGTATGCAACATCTTTGTGTAGTCCCATATACATCGTTCTGTGGTCAGTGCTTGTAACTTTACCAAGACTGGGCCGAATTTCTTATCATTTTGATGATTCCTGAACCTTGCAGTACACACCAATACTTATATGCTAGACGATCAACCTTTTCTGATCGATTTCCACAACATTTCTTTCACAATGCAATCGCATGACCAGAACTCAACTTTATCTTTAAATCGTCCTTTGTGAACAGGTGGATAAAGTATGAGGAGGATGTGGACGTGGATGCAGACCGATGGAGTAAACCTCACGTAGCGACACTGCCTCTTCACAGTCTGTTTGAACTGAGGACTTGCCTGATTAATGGCACAGTGTGTCTTGACATGGAAGCAGACAACATTGTCCAGATTGCAGGTGAGGGAATCTTCCGTGTCTTATGCCCTTGGGGTGTTTCACAAAGATCCTAAGTCAAACTTAACCTTAAGTTCGATTTATATATGATGGAAAGCTATTTGTAGCCGTCAAATAAAATATATTCAAAAGCGAAAATTCAAGTATTTTAGACTTTCTATAAATTCCACATCAAGAACATGAAATCTCTGTGATAATAGAAAATATGAATGATTTGAATCAACATTTTATGCATTTTAAAATAACTTTTACAAAATATTTTCAAGGATGCTATTAGCGGCTTTCCATAATTGTTAGTCCAACTTAGAGATAAGTTCGACTTAGGTTATTTGCGAAATACCCCCCTGGTCCTTTTTCTTTTAGCATGTTTTGGGTGCGCAACTGCAGCTAGGATGTTTGTCATCTCCTGCGCCTGTGCCTAAATCCTTGATACAGGCCCTTGTAGGCATCTTGCCGCCTCCAGAATGATCATATGAAATTGCTATGTATTTCAAGCGTTTCAGTTTTAGAAATAGCCAAATTATGCACAGTTCATGTGGGTAAATTGACATGTGCCCCGGCAAAAATTACTCATAGTTTTTTTATTTCATAAAAAGTTAAGTGTTGGGATCAGGGTTGCAGTTGGGTTGTTGTAACTTAAATGTAGGGTTAGGGTTGAGGTGGAGTATAGAGTTTGGTCCGGGGTTGAAATTAGGAAGCTGTTTTGCGCAGAAAAAGCCAGACCAGCTCCAGCTGTCATAGGACCATATGTGGCTGATCTGATATCCTGTAAGCCTAATACAGAAACCACCTGGTTCATGTGGGCATTAGGTTAGGTAATCAATAATTAATCATGATTATTGTACATTACTTTTTCTGAATTTTGGGGGGATGGGGGGGGGGGGGGGGGGGAAGGGGGATTGATTTTTTTTTAAAGGTTTGGAAGTAAAATCATTTTTAATTGAAAACGATTAGTGATAATGTTAATAATTACCCTCTTTCAGACCTTGTCCTGGACAAGTTGATCATGTCGGAGCAGTTGGATGAGAGCAAGAGAGAGCAGGTCCGGGAGGCGCTCCTGCGCAAGCATCATCATCAGAGTCATAAGAAGCATCGGGACAAGAGAGGGAGCAGTCTCCTTCCCATGATCAGATCTCTGACGGACATCGGGCGTAGCCTCTCGCAAGGCGGCGCACATAATACAAGCATGGAACAGCAAGGTTTGATTACTGTGACAACTTGAATTGTAGGAAGTTTGAGATGTGTGTGAAAGAGAAGAAAAATAGTAGAAATGGAGAGAGGGAGAGAGAGGGAGAGAGAGAAAGGGGGGGGGGGGAGAGAGGGAGGGGGGAGAGAGAGAGAGAAAGAGAATGAGAGAGAGAGAGAATGAGAGAGAGAGAGAGAGATAAAGGAGTATACTGAATACTAAGTCTGAAACAACCTAGGAGAATCTTTGTTGAACAACTTTCTCTTGTACTAAATTCTTAGAACCAGTTTGGAACAACTCTGAGTGACAGTTTTGGCTTGTTCCATTTATGTTTAATAATAGTTGCCCATGGTTGTCTCGATGACCGATGATATTTATTTTACATGTACATATGAAGACTAGTGGAATACATAGAAAGATTCTATCTGGGACAACTCTCTTTATAAAACAATTCTGTTTGACAATCTTCCTTGACATCCCTTGAGTTTGAGTTTGAGTTTATTGGTTTCACATTTCACATGAAGATACAATACAGATGACAAAATATACATAAAAGACATATTGTTTCATAGTTTTAAAAAATGAATAGTAATTGACAAATTATTCAGACTACAAAGTTACATATCATCAAATTTGTTTGTCAACTTTTATTATTTTAAGGAAACCCAGACAAGAAAAGCACAAAACTGTGAAATGTAACAGTTTTTTTTATCTTGTTCTCTTCTTGTACATGAAGCAGCTGCGCAAAGTGGAATCCAGACCTCCCACGGGTCGTCCCCCAACATTCAGAACAGCCAAACCTCTCCTAGCTCACTCATGGTGAAGGGTAACTCCGGTGACCTTGGCAAGTCAGAAACCTCGGGCAGTCTTCCCAAGGTCTCTAGTCATCACAGTCTCAAGGTAGGTTGTCATGGAGATCGATGAATACTAACCACTTCTAGCAATGCTTCTTCCATTTCTGACTTTTGTTTTCAGGTTACGATGTTTGCTGGAGGTGTTCTTTTTTCTTCTTCTACCAAGGATAATGACATCATGCCTGGAGGTTCTCGCCACTATAAGTGCTCTGTTAGGTTGCTATGGCAATAGATGTTGTTGCCTTGTGCAATTAATGTTATTGCTATTATACTTGTATAATGTGAGGTAATGAGTAATTGATGCTTCATATGAAACTGGACTAAGTGTTCCCAGAGGACATCAAAGTGTGTGTGTATTTCTTTACTCATTTTGCTTGAATACCCACTTGGATCAAGCAGAAGATTGGAAACCATATCTTACCTTTGTGATGTAAACAGGAAAATTAAGTTCTTAAGTTTTTTAGAGTAATGCCTTGGTTACCACTCCCAAGATAATCAAGCCATAAGATGTGGCAAATCTCTTTTATTGAATTGATAACGAAAATGGTTGCTTAGTGGCTTTTGCTCCTTAAAGGCATTGGATGATGGTATTTTTTGGTGTTACACTTTTTACAATTTAAGTGACGGAATACATGTACATGAGAGGAAAAAGGGCCTAACTCCATCATATTTCAAAATAATTTGTTTAGTCATTAAGATAAAAACTTGATTTTTTGACAAGTTGAAGAGACAGAATAATTTCACCTTAGGGAATCTTGATGACTGATTCAAGGGTATTGAAATTTTCTTGAAAATGAAATCATTCTGTCTTTTTTTCTTCTATCAATAACTCATTTAATTATTTTGAATAAGTTAGCCCCTTCATCCATTCAGGTTTTCATTTTGCAAACTTTCTTTGAAAAAAGAAAAGAAATTAAGAGGTATATATGTCACAACTCTAGGTGAAAGGTATGCAAGTGAATTCTTGAAAGGAGTATAAGTATCTTCGGAATAGCATTGATACTACTGTATCACTAATCTGTTCCACAGGAATGTATTGTGAAGAAGAAAGAATCAAATAGTCACAAATATTTTAATCACTCAAATAGGTAAATCTTATGTGAACTGGGAATTCACATTTAACTGTAATTTCAGTTGATAAAAATGGAAGAAGATGAAGAAAAAGGTATTTCAAAAGAAAAAGAATTTGCACATTCATGTACGATCAGTAAATTTGAACCCCTTTGTCATTGGTACCTATCAACATAAAGCAAAGCATTGTTTGATAAAACAATGAAACAATGAGCACTGCCAGGATATCGAGTGGGAAAGCCAAAAGATCTTGTGACATAATAAGCAAGTCATTGGAAAGCGGGTCATTGAAAACCATGTAACAAAGTGGGAACAAAAGGAGTGGGGAGGGACTGGGGGAGGAGAGGGGGCGTTAATGAATGGTTGCTTGATGAAAACAAGTAGAATGTAATGTTTCTTACAACATAAAACTGAAGTTGAATATCCACACAAAAAAAGGAGGAAAAAAAAGAAAGCAAAGAAAACGTGGAAGTAAATGAGCAAGTCCAAGTATTTTGTCCCATATGTTTGCCAGACCTATTGGAGCTTAGATCAGGCCATCTATCGAGTACAATAAACAAATTTGAGTCAATTTGAATTTATAATAGTGTAATGTATATATGTGTAATGTATAGGACATTTATGACCTTATAAATATCTTGGATGCGTTAAAACAAATACTTGATCTATTTTCATTTCGAGAAGTCCTTTTGAGAAGTACAAACAACAGAAATCATGCCATGTTTCTGCAGATACATGTACTTTAATGTCTTTGGCCATGGTCCAAAATGAGTTACTCGTTTGTTCTGAAATTTCATTAGTGGTTATGAGTCACATCTCAAAAGAAGCGACGGGTTGTAAGCTTAAGGCAAATCATGTCATTTAATGAAAAAGGAGTTTAATGCTCTATCATAAGTTTGTCGCCCTCTTTCTTGATGCTCTTCTCAATGTTCAGAGTAACCAGGAAACCTCCTCATTCAAACTCATTAAGTTGACTGTGTGCCAACTTCCTTCAGGGCTTCCGTTATGTTTTTTTTAAAGGCAAAGGTAACATGAATTGAGTGCAAGAGGAAATTAAAAGTTTTTTATATAATTTCTTAAGGACACATTTATGACTCAAATCTTTATAGTTATGCAAGATCATCATTTCTATAGGTGTATGTCATAATTTTCAAGGATAAAGAGTTGAAATCAAATGGAATGGTGAGCCCTTATTCATGGAAAGAAAACAAACAAGTGGGCTAAACCGTTCAGTGTGCTCTGTATGACATAAGCTATCATTACTTTGTCAGTAGTCATAAAACCGTCATGTCAAAGATTTTCCAAATATCCTAGAAATTAATGGATAAAGGATATGACATATTTCCTAACTGGGAGGACATTCCAAGAATCACCCTAGTCTTTCTTAATGTGCAACATGTACAGGAACAGACTTGTTTGATAGGTGACTTCTGATTTGCTCGCTTTAGAATCCACTTTGTGTCTGTTGCCACTGATAAGCTCTCTTTGTAACCTGTTTAACGTGAAGTCATACAATTTGTATATTATCCCAAGATTTGTGCTACTGAAAATGCTTAATACACATATTTGAATGTCATCTGTTTGGGGAAGGGAATTTGATACATCGTGTTTACATGTAAATAGTATAAAATACTATTTTCTTGCTTGCAGTATTGAATTTTATTTCTTGCTTACAGTATAGAATTTTATTTTCTTGCTTAAGTAAATAGTCATTAAAGTGGTCTGGTGCAGTTTAAAGCTAATTAACAGCTGAGTTATAAACATGCAGTAAGTGGCATGTTATAATTAGAAAGTAGAATAAAGCAACATTTCGTTAGAAACCGTAAAACATATTCAGCAATAATAACGCGTGAGTAGAAATGTATAGATAGTTGAAAGGATTAGAGTGAGATTGGTCTTATGTCTTAATGCTTATTTTTAGAACATATATTTTGGTATATAACCCCAAAATGTGCTATCGTAGTGAAGTGGATTCTGCCGTAGACATAGCAACTAGTGTCAACATTTAATGCATGATAAATGTACATGTATATGCGATACGCATTTGACTAAACTTTTAGAATTGTGTTTGAAGTGGTCCTTTAATTTTGGTTGCTTTAGATTGTTAGAGTAGTGACATTTAGGGTTGGTAATATGTGCAATAGAAAATTATTATATGAACATTATATATATATATACCAAGTAAGTCTATGTGTACATGTGCAGAACTTTTGTAAAAATTCCCACCATAAAACTGCTTACTGGTGTTGTATTTTAGTTTATCAATGTTGTTTAATAGTAATATTAAATAGATTTGTATTTTCATTCTGAACCAAGTAGATTTGTGCATAGTCAAATTTTGTTCTATGTGTAAAGCACTGTTCTTACACTGTTCAATCTCATGGCTTTGCACAAAACTGTTTAAAATGCAGAGGATATACTGCCCCCTAGTGGTGACTTTCATTATTGTTGTAATGTAATGTAATGTCATTCTCAACTGTACCATTGGTAGAGTATGATTTCTAGTGAACTCTGATGTTTTACACCCATTTTACGTTTGTCAATGTCCCCATCAAATATCACCTGTTTGTAGTTTAGTAGTTATAAAGTCCCCCTGTAAAACTTGATAAATGTTTGGGTTGTGAAAAATATGAGTTTGGGTGATTCTGTATCAGAAAAACTGACATTCTTACAACTTTTACAAGTTTTCTTTTATGGAATTACCCATGTACACTTGCCCAACTATGCCACTGAATGAATATACAAATGTAGCACTTGCCTTTAAATCAGACTTACTTGTCCACTAAAGACCAATTGTTCTGTATTGCCTGACAAAGCAACAGTTCAAACGTGTAAGATTTTTGTCATACACAGCAACTGAATGAAACGATAGTTTTTTTCAGGGATTCTGGGACAGAAATATTGAGAAAAATTTGAATACAGCTGTAAATAGGCCTTTAACAAATACAAGAAAATCTTGTTACAACATCTTTTATCAGCTGGGTTTTTAGGCAAGTCTGATATCCATGTGCTTACGTAGCTGTCAGCACCATTGGTTGCCTAGGGCAGGCAAGTGTTATTTGTAGTAGTACCCTTGATGTAAATGATGTGCAGATAGATGTGTAGTAGTGTGATACACCCTCCCTCTATGTATCTTTGGCTTTCTTCTTTGTATTCCCACAGAAAAGATTGAGTGAAGCTCGTCTCTCCATCCCGCACAACCTCGCCGGACATAGTCTCTCGGTTGGCCTCCAATTTCATATTACTCCTTTATTTGTTATTTTGTAGTTTTGTTTTTTACATCCATATAGGTGTTTGCTTTGCTTTCAATGACCCCTGACCCCAAAGTGCATCCTGCAAGCATCTGACTGTTTCCATCCATCCATCTCACTATGCTCTTTTTTAATTCTATTTTTTGAAGGTGAAATCTCTTTTTGGGGTCTGTTTATGTTGGTTTTTTAATTTTGATGAGTTTTTAATGTTTTAATGATGTTTTGATGGTTTCATTGGTGAATTCTGTTCTAGCTTTTTGCAAGTTGAATTGAGTTTTCCTCTGGTCTTAGACATGATCATCATCTTTGTTCATTCAGTGTCGCAGTCATTACAAAAATCACCAAGCTGCTGTTTCTTCAAAGTCTTCCATGTCTCTCTGTCTTTTTTTTCTTCAACGGTGCTAATTTGGTTCCGCCATCAATTCCATATGCAACAGTGTAATCATCTTTTCATCTTGTGTTTTATCTGTAAACATATTTATGCAATTCATTTTGTGCAATGTGTCACATACAACATATGTCCCTTTTCTATTTATCTCATCCAAAAGTGAAAAATATCTTGGTATAACCATTTAACGGTGTTAGTGGGGCCAGGAAGAACCATAGGCCGATGGTCATATGAAGAGATTTTCATTGTTTGGATGAAATATATTAAAAACTTTCATATGTGATATGGGACACATTGAACGGAATCGCCTTTTTCTTTCTCACTTATCATTTCCTGTCCTTTCTACTCACGTAGCCACCTCCCAGCAATCATTAACAATCACATTTCCCCTGTTCTAGCCAATATTATTATAAAAGCATTCAGCATAATATTAATGCTTGTTAATTAGGGCTGCTCCTATTTCAAATCTAACCAAGAATCTTTTAGAAATTTTATACCGGCTCATCTTTAAACAAAATTATTTGTAAAGGCTGTGTTCATTGGGGACTTTAGGCTGTGTTCATTGGGGACTTTTTGAAGGTCATGACGTGCTCATTCACTGAGGAGCAAACATTCAAAATCGGTCTGTCCATTTACTGTTAGCATTTAGAGGGGTTTGTCATCATTGGTTGAATAAATAGAGAATTGATAACCAAGTGCTTAACTCCTTCATTCTTCCCTGTCTCCCCCCCCCCCCTCATTTCATCTCTCTTTTTCTAATATCATTTGTATCTCACCATCGTTGTCATGGTAACTTCTCATTTCATCCAGTCATCTTTGTTTTACATTGTCCTGACTGTCTTCTATCACATAAATAACCCATTACCAGAATTTCACATTCAAAGCAACATTGCACAATAACATCAAATTCTGTAATTGTCATCGTACAAAGAGGTACCATGAACATGGTGGAAAACCGGGCATCGATAACTATGTAAAGTACATTTAGCAGCATTATAGCCGTCTTCATCATTGTTGAAATGATTATGATCATTATCGTCATCACCATCATCATCATCGTCATCATCATCATCATCATCATCATCATCATCATTATCATCATCATCATTACCATCAACATTATCATCATCACCATCATCATCACCATCACCATCATCATCATCATCATCATCATCACCATCTCCATCCTCATCCTCATCAAATTCTTGATATCACTTTGAGCAATTCTATCTGCCATCACTAGAAGAATTGATCTGTTGTCATTATCATCATCATCATCATCATCATCATCATCATCACTATCACTATCATTGTCATCACCATCATTGTCATTATCATCACAACCACTATCATTACCCATCATCATCATCTACATCATCTTCATCATAACCACCACCACCATCATCAACGTCGTCATCATCATAAATCTACATACCGTACTGTTCTTGTCATCATTGGTACTAACAATATCATCACCATTCTTTGTTTCATCATGTCACTTTTGCTAACAAATTACATGAACAAATAAATCATGTCCTGCTTTGGCAAGAGTTCCCAATCCAGCTATGGTGTTTTGAAATGAATTCAAATATTTGATTTTGTCTTTACCTTGCATTTAATAATGATTTGATTTTTGTTGTTGTTGAATTTGTATTTTCTCATGAAGTTTTCCTAACTCCATTTCATTATAAAGAAACTTTGTAGTTGGTGAAATAGCATAAAAGTTTACTGTAATTTAGTAATCATATTGAATTGGTGATCAGTGAAATTAATACCCAGTTGTTGATTGTATTGAGAGAGTTTTTTCAAAATGTTGGTAACCAATGCAAACATTTAATGAAGCAGTCATGCAAAAATGATTAAAAAAAAAACAACATGAAATCGCTGAAAAGAGAAAGTACTTTTCATGAAGAAATGTCCATCAAATTTACTCATGATGAAATTTTTCTTTTAAAAAAAATATTGCTCAGCATTATTTCAAATTACTTTTTATGAGATCACTGAAGTGTTGCTCCCCACAATTACAAAAAAGATAAAATAGTAAGCAAATTCCACTGCTGCTCATCGCAACATGCACATTATCTTTGCAGATATGTAGATGCATTGCAGCACATAGGTAGCCTTCAATAGCTTATTTTACACTTAACTTTCACTAAAATTTCAGAAAGAAAAGGAAGAAACTCCCAAATAGTTGCCTTCATTAAACCTATGTAATGAGTTTATTGCTTGGAATTACTTTGACCCACAATGACCTGCACTCCTCTAATGGTTAGAAAACAAATCATGATTATCTTTTCTCCCTATTAAAGTCATCTATTTAGTATTATATTGAAATGGGAGACACTTGTGGTATACTGGCAATATACTCTTTGGTATATAGCGGACTTCCAATTCTAACATCGTTATATATATTCTCTTTTGCATGGTTTGGTTTTAAATACAGTTCTTTTATATTTATGTTTGATGTGACAAGGTGTTTCTTCTTCCATTGCTGCTCTCGTGGCGTCCATTTTATTTTCACAGAAAAGACTGAGTGAAGCTCGCATGTCGCTGCCGCAAAATCTGCAGGGTCTTAGTATGACGGTTCGACATCTTTTATTTATCTTTTATTTTTTTCTTCTTTTTATTCTCATGGATAATAACAACTGCTCTAAAATTTGACATCATGCAATTCCTCATCCTATTTTTTTCCTCATCATACCTTCAACCCCCCATCATTGACCTGTAAGTCTTGAGAAATGATTAATCACACAAAGGCAATTTATATCTGTGCAAATGAGTGTTGAGAAATTTGAAATGAGTACATTTAAAGGTAAAGACCAGTATTGGTAACGCCCCAATTTCAAAAAATGAAATGGAAGCTCTCATTACCAATCATGTGAAAGAATATGTTTTGACTAATACATGATGATAAAAAATTTGCCGGGAAACCGCCTACTAATTCATATATTTGGTAAATTTATTTCTCTCATGGTCGTGTGAGAGAGATAGGGTAGTCCCATATACATCTTTCTGTGTATAGTGCTTGTAACTTTACGAAGAATGGGCCAAATTTCTTATCATTTTGATGATTCCAGAACCTTGCAGATGCTAGATGCTAGATGATCAACCTTTTCTGATCGATTCCACAACGTTTCTTTCACAATGCAATCGCATGACCATTACTGGTCTTTACCTTTAAAATTCAACAAATATTTTGAATAGTTTCCAGATTATACATAGGCAGACAGTTTGTACTAGCTTTGAAAGTCATTTTGCATTCTAAAATATATAAATGAGGCATCTTTTTCATCTTCTACATGTATGTAAGATTTCATTCTGAATCTATGGCAAAGAAAATTGATCAAAGATTTGCAATCGTAACTTTCCTATGAAAAAACAGCTTTCTTTGCTCCTAAATTTGTATGGATATAAAAAATTGGCACGGGTTGTGGTCCTTTTGTGAAAGTGGGATACTTTTCTCTTGACGTGCTTGTATCGTAATGCAATATCATTTACCATGGGGGATATGATCAAAATGTTGGATCAATCAAGTACCAAAGTCAAAACAATGCAGAGTACAGCAATAGTGAATATCATCCGTTTAGAGGCAAAAAGGCGTTAGTTTGTATCCCTTTAACAGAATTAATGCTCTTCTAACTCTCAGCGGATGATATGATGTCATGGATCTTGAAATCTCTGTATCACAGTAGAAATCAATCCAATTTGTGTAGTTTCAGAACAAAAACATATTTTTCTTTTTTTCACTTCATGCACTGCACAAATTTGTTCAGAATTTCTTTTTCTTTTTATTTTCCATAATCTGGTACATTGATTGATTTCAGCATATCCCCCATGGTAATTGAAAAAGGGGGGAAATTTCTTCATGATTTTCTTTATCCTTATCCCCACCCCTCCGTATATCTCATGTAAATATCATTGCATTGCATTCTAAATGTTTCTTGAATGTATGTATGTATTCTTGTGGTCTTGCTTGTTCGTCTGCACAGCGATGTGTATTGTCCTGCTACTAGTGTCTTTATTGTTTTTACCGACATCAAGAGCCAAAAGGACGTTGATTTATAAACTTAATGCCTGTTTTGTTCTAAGCAGACATTTGTGTGTGGTGTGGGCAGGCCTTGGTTACTACATGTTTTTGTTGAAATGATTGCTGTTTGTATTCCTAAATGTTGAACTGCATTTTAAACTTCTTATGCTTTCTAATGTAAATGTCTGTATCAAATCATGTATGTCATGAATTGTCTTTCATGAATTGCAAAAGGATGTGTAACTTTAAAAAAATGTTTGATTGATGTCAGCTGCATGTTAATTAACACATTTTACTATGCTGTGTGTAATACATGTAAATCGACCAAGCACTGTTCATCTTCAAACATTCTTTTCCTGTGTTTTCTTTTTCCCCTTTTCTTCTGTATGATGCCCATTCCTTCATGTGTCTATAGTCCATTTGGAAAGGTTTAGGATCGGCTTATATATATATATATATATATGTATTCTTTAAATCTCAAATATTTTGTTTTACTGCTGCAAATTTTCTTTTAATTTCTAAATCTTCACCCAGGCCCTGTTTCATGAAAAATTTTATCAATATCAAAAGCCTTGATTCGAGAACAAGATGTTCTCTCAGCCAATCAAATGCAACGATATCAGTGTACATGAAGCTGTATCTGTTATCGTTAGTTGTTATTAATAAGATTTTCATGAAACAGGGCCCAAACTTTTGTTTTCACATACCAGTATCATATATATATATTTAAATACACATGCATGTATACTTGCTGCTTTCATGCAATGCTTACATATTAAAGGCATGCTATGGTAAAATAACAAAAATTATATTATATCCGCACAAAGAACACAGCAGGTACTGCAATCATAATTTTTTTTCAGAAAATAAACTCATTAGCAATATATAATACTTGTGCTACAATGCCGTAGAGGTAAAATCCATGACATATGTGTTAATTGTGTGAGATCCCACTTTAAGGGGACCATTATCAATTTTCTAAGAATATTTCAACAATTGTATGAAATGGATACATGTATATTTTGCATCGGAAATTAATATAGATGGATACCATTATGTAAATGGATACCGGTAATGCTGACTTCATTGAATATTAACTTGTTTCATGCTAAGATTGAGATCACCTATTGGACTGTCTTGTATTTGATTTGAAATGATATTGTCTCTAATGGGTCAATGTACTTGCCATTAGGGACCCATTTCACAAAGCTTTTTTAGCAATGACAAATGACTAAAATCAGTGACAAATCTGCTGATAACCAATCAGAAGCAAGGATTTCACTAGCTTATATCAACAAGTGTCATTTGTCACTGATGACAAGTTTTGTGGAATGGGGCCCAGATCTACAGTCATCTGCTGAGAGAAGATGCCCTTCAGGCTTTCATGTTCTACTTTAGATTATACTTTACATGCTCACATGCGTCATGAACTGAAACAGCTGTTTGTGAACACCGTAGAATACTTTACACTTCAAATGTAACAAACTAATGTGAAAATACAACAGGTGCATGTACAAATGACCGGCCAAATATCAACAGATCATTGAAAGATGGAGAAGTCCCACTTTGTGCACTTTAGAATAATCACTGCCGAAGTAATGGTGGTACTTTATGAATAACTTTTGTTTACTCTCTGAAATAGAGTACTTCCACCTGATTTGAAAATGATATTGTCTCTAATGGGTCATTGTACGTGCCATCAGGGACTCGTTTCACAAAGCCTGTCAATGACACATGACCAACAAAAAAAACTACTTTGGATTGTATTTCACATGCTCACATTTGTGATGAACTGGAACAGCCGTTTGTTAACGCCTTATAATACTTTGCACGTCAGCTGTACAATCTAATGTGAAAATGCAAGAGTTCAGAGATGGTACCTGTACAAATGACCCCTCAAATATCAACGGATCATTGAAAGATGGAGAAGTCCCACTTTGTGTATTTTAGAATAATCTCTGCCAAAGTGATGGTGGTACTTCATGAATATCTTGTTTCCTCTCTGAAATAGAATACTTCCACCTGTGTTTCACATAATGTACTCTCTAAATGCATGAATGAAAAATGGATTACATAACTTTCATGAACACATATCCAACTTTGTCTTCCTGGGCTCTACAGTTTTGTATACATGACCCTTATGTACCCATGCACATATATATATATGAAGTGGCTTAGTGGATTGCTGTACTTTTTGTATTGACATGTAAACTGAATACATTTGAGAGAGGGCGATTGGGGAAGATTTTTTTGTGTGTGTGGGGGGGGGGGGGTGACGTTGGAATATTCAGCTTGTATTTACAGGTGATAGGCCAAATTATCAAAAGTTTTGTTTTCTTATTATTTGTTTTAGTCTCTCGAATCGTATCAAAGAAGTAAACCAGAACCCATTAAACATAAGCAGGATTTTAGACATGGAAGGTCTAAGGTATGTGTTACCATGGTAACGAGTGAGTTTTACTGCACAGGGTGGCGTTTTACTGACCAGAAGACCTATCAACAAGCTGGATTTTACTTTACCAAGATACACAACTGCACATTATACCCATCTTCTTATGAAGTGCCACGATTCACTTCTGAAGATTATAGATAATAACTGCACCATTAACTAAAAACATTTCACTACATATATATTGGATTCTAAACAAGTGTGTCTTCATAAATTTACAACACAAGTTCACATTTCTTATCATAAGTTATTTTACTCGCCACTTAGTAATAATAATATACTAATAATACTTTGTTCTTTTATAGCGCATTTCATATGTGTTGACATTTCAATGCGCTTTACAATATAATTACTGGTATATATAAAATTTAACAACTAACAATATCATATGAGGAAGATGAGTAAACAGAAGCATATAGAAAACAAAGAAGTTCTTACGAAGAGAAAAAATACAACATTACTTGTAACATTAACTACTTAAATGACTGTTGAAGTTGTAAGAAGAGGACATTTTTTTTAAACTGATAGGTTAGACTTTTGAATTGAATCCTGTGCTTTATGTTTAGCCTTTATTTGTGCTTTCTGTGTATTACTCTCTTTAAAATAAAAATAAATTAACGAAATCACAATTATTTGGATATTGATTGATATGAAACAAAAAAACATGAATAAAAGATGAAAAATATTTTGATGATAGGAAAAGAAGATGATTTTAAACATATCTACCAACTTAAATCTTATCACTACTATTCATGAGCACTTTCATTGCAGTTTGGTGTTTTGAAGTGTCTGAACTCTTCCAATTTTTTTTAGATAAATCTTGTGAAATGGGGATAAGGAAAAATGAATAAATTATCACCTTATTAACAAATAATCATAAATAAAATCTTGCTGTGAAATATATAACTAATTTATTGATTTACACAGATTAAAGTTTATGCACTTACTCATGTAGCTTTTGTCAAATAAATGTTTAATTGATTAATAGTGTGTATTAATGATAAATTGACAAAGACTGCAGAAAAGTTTCAGTTTATGTGATTTCCGAGAAAAAGAGAAGAAAAATCACACAACTCAAACTATTTAGCTTTTCCATCTTTAGAGATGAATTGAAAACCCTTATCCATATAAATATATGTCTTTTTATTTTCTGATGAAAACAGTCCTTCTGTAGACTTATTATTTTACAAAATTCTTTTGAAAGATGGTTAGATTTGATTGTTGAATATCCATACCCTATTTTGTAATAACTCAGCATATTTTTAAATGAATGCAAATCACTTCACTCATGTATTCATTTTTTTAAATCTATATATTTGTTTTACTTTTAGTCTTTCCACTCTGTCTCATGTAAAGTGGATTCTCCTAGGCTACACAGAATGCATCATAATAAGTTTGAAAGGTCCAAGGTATGTTGCCATGACAATGGCTTTGTTTGCATGGCCGAATATGTGATGTTCTAAACTTGGGGAACACTAACTGCCTTTCCTTCATCACTTTCAATGCTATTGTGAGATGAGGATTCATTTATTCAAATATTTATTTGAAGAAAAAGAAAATTGTGTGTTGTGGCGCAGGATTCTAAAAAGAAGATAAAAATGGTTAAAGAATATACTGTGGGAATGATATACACACGTAACAGGGTGACTGGGTCCTTTAATGAAAATGTTGCAGTGATGGTGATTTGGGGTTCAGAAATGTTTGAATTAATGCCAACCCCCCCCCCCCCATGTCATGCCCCACCCCTCCCCCACCAATAAATTGGGAGGAAAAACTCCTCCAAACAAGTTTGTGCTTATAACAAACCTACTGTTCAAAACTACTTCAGCAAATACTGCAACCTAATTTGATAGGAGGCGCAATGGCTTAGTGGTAGAGCAGTAGTCTTGTAACCGGAAGGTACCGGGTATAAAACCAAGTTGATGTGTTAGTGCCTTTTGGTAAGGCATTAATCCTCATTATCAAGTCCCTCGGAGTGGATTTAGAGCTGTCTGTTCACTGATTGCTCACTTACAAGGACATACACTTGCTTTCTTAGCAATTAGGTAAAACAAACAAACAAACAAACAAACAAACAAACAAAGTATTGATGTCAGCTTTGTTTTCTGTAACAACTATCTGAACAGAGCATCTCTTGGAACTCTCTTTGACATTTCTGCCATGTTGGATTGTCTGTGCAGGTTGTTGCAACTTGATGTACATGTATACCATGTCCAACAAGACCCTCTTGACTCCTATGTCTATCCTCCAATGGACATGATGGAACCACCTGGCTGATGAGAAGCAGTCCGGAGAAAAAGACAACAAATTATGTTTTAGTCATTGTTCAGTGCTACCTGAAAAGATTTTGATTTGCTGTAGATTTTCCTGCAAATAATACCCCCCCCCCCATTACTCTATCATTGAATATTAACCTCTAATGTTTTTGCACACATGTGATTTAACGCACATATTCAATTTTTTGACATATCAAAATCACTATTCACTGATTGTAAAAGTCTTTATGTTCATGTTAATGACATGCTCATCATTAGAAATAGATTTACATTATGTTTACATTTTAGAACAAACTATGTTAGCTTGAAGTTATGTTAAAAAATATGTCATTGTTATTATGTGGAATATTGCATATCATTTATTCTGTTCCCCATGGTGGCAATAATGAATTATTGAAACATATTCATATTTTGTGTCCATTTATGATTATAAAATTTTATGGTGTATGATAAAGTTCACAGCAAAAAGATTAAATCATTCCACTTATTAAAAAGGTACAGAACACTGACATCACGTACAGTATTTACATGTATGTATATACAGAATTAATATGGCTAATCGTTTATTTCCATTTTGTGATTCAAATGATAACTAGTAAATTAATATATGCCTGTTTATTTATATTTTTAATGTGCTTTTCCATTTTTTTGTTGTAGTCTTTCCATTCCTACCCAAGTAAATCTGAATCCCTACGGTCCAATAAATCAGATTCCTCGTATAGGTTCAAAAGGTCAAAGGTATGTTACCATAGCAACAGCATTTCTTCTTGGCACTTGTGTGACGGTCTGGACTCCTAATTTAGAGATCACCCACTTTTCTTTCTTCAAGACTGTCAACCTTTGACCTGTCACATGTCATTTGTGTTGAATAATATCAGAATGTTGAAAATACATGTGTGCTGTGATTTCTACTTGTATATAACAATTCAATAAGATTATAAATATTAAAAAACACAAGTTTTACCGTATGTAATGCCCTGCTGGGGCACTAATGTCCTTTGGAAAGACATAAATCTACATCTGCCACTCTCCACCCAGGTGTTTAATGGGTACTGGTAGGAAGGAATTCCTTGAATGCTGTGAGCGCCGAAATCGGCAGCCTAGCAGAGCCGGGTCATATTCAGAGCGCCTTGAGCACCTTGCATGGTGAATATGTGCGCTATATAAATATCTGATATTATTATTATTATTAGTAGCAGTAAACGCCTCATAGATCTTGGGTGATATCCTGAGAATGTTATTATCCTGACTTCAGTGACCATGTTTTGATTGGCTTCACAAATTTAAAATTGCAACAGTTCATCTGTGTCTCCACAGATGTGTTCTGCTTTATATGCAGCCACCTTTAATATGCATGGTCATTAATAAATGACACACCATAAGTTTATATTTATTATTTAGCACTTGAAATCATGTTACTGGAATCAAGGTGAACATTGTCACCTGGGTTCCAAACATCAAATCTACTTACACAATCACTTGTGAATACATGTACGTTGTAAACTTTGTGTTGGATATTTGTGAAAATGAGTGTGCAAATCTGTTTTACAGGCACAGGTACCAATATGGTAACAACTAGTAAGAAGATTCAGTGTTGCTCAATTCATTATCTTGTTTCTCTACATTAATATTTCCTCACCTTTAATATTATGTCTTTTTCTCCCCCTTCTCTTTTCCATTGTTAACGATTTGATGACATGGTCTAACCATTCTTCGTTCAATTTTCAACATAACACCTGTTTTCTTTCTTCATTATGTTTTGATAAACCTCTTATCCTTTGAAGATAATCTTTGCCAAGATGATCAAGTATAAACATCCAACATGATATCATGTATCATCCTCTGTAACTGACAAGAAAAATGTTTAATCTTTATGTATTATATATGAGTTAATGCCCTTCTGGCTCTCAACAGAGGATTCATGTATGTACATCCATCACGTTATTCATCTTTCACAAAGAGTTTATTGTTATATGAGGTAATACTAAATATATGTATCTTCTGAAATACAGTACTTAATTTCTATGTGTAAAGTCTGCACTCTTTTTGTGTTTGTGTTTTGCAAAGGCTGTTTTATAAGTATTGTAGGTTTTAGATTATTGGTAGTAGAAAACTAACAATTTAATCATCATGTAACAGATGTTAAATCATCATTACAAAAATTTACATATTCACGTAATTAGATATGTCCATTTTGATTTCAGTGAGCTGCGTAGATTTATTGATAGCAATTACCATGTAAAGTAGCAAATGTTCATTTAAATTAAAGAAGAACAAACATATATATATATAATGCCTTCTGGTATATATATATTTTCATTGTCAGTAATATAAAATATAAAACTTATGAAATCTTGTTTGAAATCTTTGTGCAATAAGGTTTTTAATAATTAGTGTATTTTTTTCAGAGATACTGTTGAATACTCCGGGAATATTAATATTCCTTACAAAATATTAATTTCAATAGCCAATGATCTACAGCAGATATGTGTAATATTGTTTGAATTTGAATTCTCCCACATCCATTTCTGTTCTCACCTTGGAAAAAAAGGTGGAAAAGAAACTTTGTTATGTGTTAATCATGAATATTTTCATTTAACAAAAGCTTTCTGAATCACTTGATTGTTAATAGTGCTTTGGTACAGAGCACTCATAAGCTATAAAGTCATGCTTCATTTCTCTCTCATGAGTATGACATTATACCATCCTTGTATTTAAGTGCTTGTATATACATATATGTGTATATTTCTTCTTTGTAATATACATTGTAATTTTTCTATAGGTGATTGGTTGCCACTAACACATTTTTATTTAAACAGTGCCATCAATAATACTAACATTTATTTACTGGAAATCATTTCATGCTTGCACCAAATTACGTATTTATCCATGACGTAAATAAGTTATGTCATACATGTGGTTTGAACTAATAACCTTTGCATTCCTGTGGTGAAATAAATTGTTCATGTGATGGTGAAATAACTTTTTCATGTGATGCTGAAATAACTTTTTCATGTGATGCTGAAATAACTTTTTCATGTGATGCTGAAATAACTTTTTCACGTGATGCTGAAACTTGTGGATATTAACATAGAATGTGCTCTTGGTTAATATTGAAGTCTTGCTTACACATGATGCTGTATACTGCCTCAAATAAAACACCATGGCAAAATGATAACATTTTAAGTGTAAAATAATGGTGAATGGGGTGAAGGGAGTTGGTCCCTGCAATGTAGTCCCTTAAGCTTTACTTTGTTACTGAGGGAAACGTCATGCCCTATACAAAAAGTGAACAAGGCCGGTCCTTGTATATACGAATATTGGACTAGACAAGCTTAGTCTAAAGTTTGGTACCCTGAACAAAATCAGTCGCCCGTTACCAGGGTAATACTCATATTTCTGGGCACTTGTTCATTGCATAAATTTTGGAGGCAGTTTAGCACAGCATGTGTAAACAAGGTCAAAAGCAGCTATTATACTGCTGGTCTTGAAGTTGTATGGCTAACTCAAAAGATCAATGGAAGGATTATTAATATATTAATATCCATTGCTAAAGTGAGTTTTGGCATTGAAAATATGAATAACACTGCTTTTATCAATAACCGCAAAAGTATGCTGCTTCACATTGCTTGCTCATACATAAATACAATGCCTTTTTATTGTTTGAAGAATTAATGGCAGAGCATGGTTTTTGATTGCCTGCATCATCAAGTCAATATGTCACCACTCTTGAAAGAACGGTAATCCTTAAGGTGCTTGGTCTTGTCGTTGCACAATGCTCATGCTTTTGTTTGTTTTGTTTTTCCCTTCCAATCTCATCATTTTCCGCACAGGCAAGGCACAGTTTCATGAGGAAGATTCCTCAAGGCGCAGAGGCCTCCAACGTCCTGATCGGCGAGGTGGATTTCTTGTCGCGTCCAATCATCGCGTTCGTCCGTCTCCAGTCGGCAGTATCCCTCGGTGACCTGACAGAAGTCCCCATCCCGACGAGGTTCCTCTTCATCCTCCTCGGCCCCCAGTCGGGGAGACCAAGCGGTACCATGAGATCGGCAGATGCGTCGCAACGCTCATGTCAGATAAGGTATCATTTCACTCGTCAAATGAAATTGAAAATGCATTAAATTTGTTTATTGTAAACTTAAATTCAGGCAAAAAGACTTCTTTTCTTTAATTTATTTATTTATTTATTTATTTATTTCTGCGTGGTTCAACAGTTTACATAGTATGATCATGACCATCACGGTAGTAAGCACTAGATGACGATCATTATACATTTGCAATTTTAAATAATACAGAAGCATACAGAGGTATGACAATATACCGGTAAGCTTAATGCTCGAGAGATTGCCACACCTTATCATCTAATGATATATATATTTAGAGATGTGTTACTACACGCTTGTCAGGCAAGGTATCAAATTCACGTTTCCATTCCTTACTCCATGTATGTGTTGTCAAGATGTATAATGTTGTTGGAGCTACAGAGATCAAGAGTGTGGCATTGTGAACATGCAGAAGAAGGAATCCCTACTAGATCTTTATTCCTTATTTCTGGCAATCTTGACATTTGAAGATGGCTCATCATATTTTCTCTTTGGAAATGTTAAAGTTTGCTCTTACTTTTCCAATTTTTTGTACTTTAACAAAAATTCACCTTCAGACACCGGTTGTAGATTTACAAGTTTTCTTCTTTCAATATTGTTTGTTTGTTGTTATGTTTTTATTGGGGGGGGGGGGTGCTTGAATACAAAAAGTGTGAATGGAACAATATATGGCACAGTCATACATAAAACATTGATATAAAAACCTTGGTCCACCCATGTCGGGCTTTGATTGAAAATGGGTGAAGGAGCCCCATGGCATGATGCATTAACACATTGTTCCTTTGTTTTTGGCTTGTCTCTCTAGGTTTTCCACGATGTTGCTTACAAGGCCAAAAGTACTAAGGATCTTCTCGCAGGCATTGATGAGTTCATCGACTCTGTTACAGTTCTTCCACCCGGTAAGTCAGCCCCAAAACTCTGGAATAACTTACCATTGGAAGTCAGGAAATTACCATCTCTGAATATCTTTAAATCAAAACTGAATGAACATCTATTCAATTAACTGTAAATTTAAGCATATCAGGAGCTCTTGTAGCGAAGTAGAATACATACTTAATGTTGGATAGTTTCTGCGCTCTATAAATGTATTATTATTAAGTCGACTATGGATGCCGTAGTGTTGCCATGCCAACGGACCGTCATGTGAAAGTCACATTTGGGGTGTTGCCCTCATGTATCCTAGTAACAACAACATGATAGTGAAGAGTAGTTTTTTCTGATTTTCTTAAATTTTTAAGGTCTTCCATCCTTGGTGATATTGCTGTTTTTGTTGTAATATTAATGATGATGATGATGGAAATGAGAAGAAATACCGGTACTTGAACATAAGTGCATAATAATTTTGTAATTCCCTGTATGCTTTACAACTTCCATGATGAATTGCGTGACTTATACAATGCAAACATTCCAAGTCAAATTGGTAAAATGTACCAAAAAAAAACATTCATAAAAAGAGAAAAAGAAAAGATTTTTATATAGAAAATTGAATTATCAACCATTGCTTGAGCATATGTCGGTCTACCACCAATCTCTATCAAGCTCTGTATATATTCCTTTCATGCTTTTTTGCAACTTTTAAAATTTCCAACTCCATCATAAACTCCCTTTCATTAATAGGTGCATGGGATCCCAACATCAGAATCGAGCCCCCCAAGGTAGTGCCCGATCAGGCCAAGAGATTATCCCACTTCCAGACTCCCAACGGACACGCAGAAGGGATAGATGAAGAAGACGGAGGAGGAGGAGGAGGGCATAATGGAGAGCATGAAGGACTAGAGAGAACTGGAAAGTAAGTTTTGGAAACAATTACATAGTTACCAAGTTGCTTTTTACAAATCATTTTGATGATTCCAAAACCTCACTCTGTATACTAGTTCTCGTGCAGTACATCCATGATCAATCAACCTTCCCAATAACTTCTAGGCAGTTTCATTCACAAGGTACACTGTAATTACTAAGCCCGAGTCAGTCCAGTCGGTCACACCGTATCCCGACCGTCGCCATCTGGTCCCGGTTTCGTTTTTTGGGAACCAATGCTCCAATAAACATAATGAAATATAGGACTGAATCGACAACTTGCCTAGTTTTGTCGAGCAGTTTAGCTCTCCGCAAACAGATACAAACTGAACATAGATGAATGCTTGGTTTACATTTGCCCCAGGCACCGTACGATTAATTGGTCTACAATTTTTCGGGCCCCTGGTAGACTAATCGCAGGCCAAATGTAAATTAGGCATTATATGTGTAACTCTGTATGCACGCTGATGATATGCGATATTTATAGAGGCAAGTGGCAGTTTCTGCTAGCTGATATCGGGACACCATTTATAAATGCCCTGACATGACTCCAAAACCTCACTTTGTATACTAATTCTTGTGCAGTACATACATGATCATTCAACCCTTCCTAATAGCTTCTATATAGGTATTTTCATTCACAATGTAATTACTAAGCCTGAGTCAGTACGGTCGGTCAAACCCTGTTTCTACCGTTGCCATTGGGTCCCGGTTTTGTTTTTTGGAAACCGATGCTCCAATAAAAATAATGAAATATAGGACTGAATCGACAACTTGCCTAGTTTTGTCTAGCAGTTTAGCTCTTCGCAAACAGATACAAACTGAACATAGATGAATGCTTGGTTTACATTTGCCCCGGGCGCCGTACGATTAATTGGTCTACAATTTTTCAGGCCCCTTGTAGACTAATCGCAGGCCAAATGTAAATTAGGCATTATATGTGTAACTCTGTATGCACGCTGATGATATGCGATATTTATAGAGGCAAGTGGCAGTTCCTGCTAGCTGATATCGGGACACCATTTATAAATGCCCTGACATGACTCCAAAACCTCACTTTGTATACTAATTCTTGTGCAGTACATACATGATCATTCAACCCTTCCTAATAGCTTCTATATAGGTATTTTCATTCACAATGTAATTACTAAGCCTGAGTCAGTACGGTCGGTCAAACCCTGTTTCTACCGTTGCCATTGGGTCCCGGTTTTGTTTTTTGGAAACCGATGCTCCAATAAAAATAATGAAATATAGGACTGAATCGACAACTTGCCTAGTTTTGTCTAGCAGTTTAGCTCTTCGCAAACAGATACAAACTGAACATAGATGAATGCTTGATTACATTTGCCCCGGGCGCCGTACGATTAATTGGTCTACAATTTTTCAGGCCCCTTGTAGACTAATCGCAGGCCAAATGTAAATTAGGCATTATATGTGTAACTCTGTATGCACGCTGATGATATGCGATATTTATAGAGGCAAGTGGCAGTTCCTGCTAGCTGATATCGGGACACCATTTATAAATGCCCTGACATCACCATATTCCTTCTGTATGTTCCTGTTTGTAGGATATTTGGTGGTCTGATACAGGACTGCAAGCGTCGCTTCCCATTCTACTTGAGTGACTTCAAGGATGCCTTTCACCTGCAGTGTCTGGCTTCGTTCATCTTCATGTACTTTGCTTGTATCACCCCCGTCATTACGTTTGGAGGACTGCTAGGAGAGGCAACAGAAAACAGAATGGTACGTACTGAGGAAAAAAAGGAAGACTGCAAATGAAAGAAATATTTTATCAAAAATCTTAATGCCCCACTGCACTACTTATAGCTACTTGCGCCCTCTATATAGCAAACAATGCCTAATCGGTGACCATTGGTCCCCCATGATCCTCTTTTTTTATGTTAATTGAGAGCTGATTTGATGAGATAATCACCTGTCAGTGACCATGCAGAGAGGTCTAATCCCCCTGGCCAAACTAGTGCAGAGGGACTTAAAAACCTGAAGTCACTAGGAGTGACATAAGTGATGGTATTCGTAAAACCTTTCATTGTGTTCGATTTTCGTTGAAAAATCTAGTCAAGACAGTGTAGTTCTTCAAGTAATGTTAATTGTTGAATGCGATCTTCGTTAATGGTTGTTTTCTGTCAGAAATATCTTTCCAGATGTAAATGTACTATGACATCACAGTTTGAGAGAGAACCCAAATAAAAGGGTACGATCCACATGTGCATTGTATGTGATACAGTGAAACCTGTCTATAAAGACCACCAAGGGAGACAAGAAAAGTGGTCTTTATAGGCAGGTGGTCTTTTTGTATAGGTTCCTTAAGTACATGTTTCAATGAGAAAACATTTTCAAGGGAAACATAAATTGTGGTCTTTGTAGACAGGTGGTCTTTCTATACAGGTGGTCACTAAAGCAGGTTTGACTGTATAATATAACTCAAACCCAATCTTTCTCCCCACCCTAATCCCCCATTCTTCAAACGTTCTAATGTCCTTTGGCAAGACATTACTCTAAATTTGCCACACTCAACCCAGGTGAGGTAAATGGGTAGGATTATTATTATTATTATTATCTTCTTCCTTGTATCTTGTGAACAGAGTGCGTTAGAGGGTCTACTTGGGGCTTCCATCTGTGGTGTGGCATTTCATCTGTTCTCGGGCCAACCTCTCACCATCCTGGGTTCAACGGGTCCGATTCTAGTCTATGAGAAGATTTTGTTCGGCTTCTGCAAGTAAGTTTTCTCTCATCTCTTCTAGGTCAATAATGTATATTATGATCTAGACTTGATACCAATTAAAGAGATTCACTAACAAGCTTCACAGGTATGTTTTTTTCTCGAAAAAAAAGGTGAAACTACCTTCTCTTGGTCCAGATAGAAAGTCTATTTCTTTAATAGGATTTGCTACCTGTTGCAGGGGGAATTCTATTTCAATTAAACTCAATTTTAGTTTACTTGTATAAAATATAAATCTGTGGTACTCCAAGGACTGAGAATACAATTTTTTCAATTTAAAATAGACATTACACCTTAGAACATTGATAAAATGAATTTGTCATTTAGTAACAATAAAAATATGTTCTTCAAATTTACTCAATAAAAATTTAAACTGTTATTCTTAATATCACTGGAAGAATGCATGATTTACATGTATCAAGCTGATTTCCAAATGGCCTCATTCACTACTGATATTCCTATATACTTAATTACAGGAGCCATCTGTTTACCTTAGCCAACGGGTTAAGACCTCTAATTTTTGTTTTCTTTCAGGACTCAAGAATTGGACTACTTATCGTTTCGTTTCTGGATCGGTCTGTGGACGATGGTATTTTGTGTAATCCTGGTTGCTACGGATGCCAGTTCTTTTGTGAAGTACTTCACCCGCTTCATAGAGGAGAGCTTCTCGAGTCTCATCTCCTTCATCTTTATCTATGAGTCTGTTCATAAACTGATGAAGATCTACAAAGAATATCCAGTAGCAAGGTAATATAACTTCAAAATATATTTAATAATTAAAAAAAAGGTATAATTGCTTATTAGGAACTCTGGTTGATGCATTGGCAAATTCAGAAACTGGTCAAGAGTACTGACGGACGGGACTGTAATAAATGGTTGATGGTGCATTTTGGTGGGGTATTCTAAAGTTAAGCCGCTTATTTCTAACTTTTCAATTCTTTGTCGCTTGAGTAATATTACTCTGTTAATGAAAGTTGCCTCGGAAAAGAATACCGGTAGTAAAAACAATTTTCAGTGAAAAGTCTGCATAGTATAGTAAACAATGAGCTTAACATGACCTTCGCACCGGTAGTGCTTTTTGGGAAATGCGTATTCATAAATACGTTGTGTCTGATTGGACAGTGGGTTTCTTGCTTTGTCTCTGGCCAGCTCTGATATGCTTCATTGCATTTTTTCAGGGCCAACTAACCCCGTACTATAGGTGGGGCTAGCCCACTTTGGTAAATTTGTGTCTGAACAGAAAGTTGGCTAGGCTTAACCCGCACTGTAGGTGGGGCTGAGACCCCCTATAGCCCCACCTGTAGTCCGGGGCTAATCAAAATTTTCCAAGTGTGAAAAGCATATAAGGGTTTTGTATGCTCATGTTGTCTTACACAGTTAAATGTGACTTTTTGTCATAGCAAACATAAAAGAAAAAGATAAAAACATCTTTTATTATTTTCAATATCAATGCGAAGTATTTAAAAGAACACCCAAACAATTTAACCCAATTCCTGTTTATGCATGATATGACAAATAAATGAAATAATCCAACCCTCTACATTATTGTTTCAATCTGTTCACGATATCCTAGGTATGCAAACGATAACACGACGTATGAATGCATGTGCCAGACCGCAACAGGCCTGTTTGAGTACGACGAAAAAGACTTCTACACGGAATCGAAAATAGACTGCGATAGCCTGAACGGTACGCTGGTGGGTAACTGGTGCGGGAAGCATGTCCCGCAGTCTGATATCTTCTTTATGTCACTCATCCTCATGCTGGGAACGTTCACCATCGCATATAGCCTCAAGGAATTCAAAACCACAGGGTACTTCCCGACCATTGTGAGTATCAACATCCAATGAGAGATCTGGGCCCCATTGCACAAAACTTACCATTGGTGGTAACTTTGGCACCCGGCCCCCCCACTCAGTGTTATTTAGGGTACGCATATGCGTGTTCCAACCGACCCCCCCCCCCCCCCCCCCTTTTCAGCAAAAGTCCGGTGTGTAAAGTCAATACGGCTCGACCTTTTTATGCCTCCGTTACGAAGTAGCCGGAGGCATTATGTTTTCGGGTTGTCCGTCCGTCCGTCCGTCCGTCCGTCCGTCCGTACGTCTGTACGTACGTCTGTACGTACGTCCCGTTCTCGTGATCACGTTATCTGAAGAACGGATCAATGGATTCCTACCAAACTTTGGTCATATATGTATCTAGCAAAGTCGATGAACTGATTAGATTTTGGGGTCACGAGGTCAAAGGTCAAAGGTCACAGGGCTCATTATGTATGCAAAAACAGCTCGTGATCGCGTTATCTGAAGAACCGATGGATGGATTCCTGCCAAACTTTGGTCATGTATGTATCTTGTAGAGTCGATGAACTGATTAGATTTTGGGGTCACGAGGTCAAAGGTCAAAGGTCACAGGGCTCATTATGTATGCAAAACGGCTCGTGATCGCGTTATCTGAAGAACCGATAGATGGATTCCTGCCAAACTTTGGTCATGTATGTATCTTGCAGAGCCAATGAACTGATTAGATTTTGGGGTCACGAGGTCAAAGGTCAAAGGTCACAGGGCTCATTATGTATGCAAAAACAGCTTGTGATCGCGTTATCTCAAGAACCGATTGATGGATTCCTGCCAAACTTAGGTCATGTATGTTACTTGCAGAGCCGATGAACTTATTAGATTTTGGTTAACGAGGTCAAAGGTCAAAGGTCACAGCGCCCATTATGTATGCAAAAACAGCTTGTGATCGCGTTATCATTAGAACAGATTGATGGATTCCTGCCAAACTTAGATCATTTATGTATCTTGCAGAGCCAATGAACTGTGTAGATTCTTGGTTCATAAGGTCCAAGGTCATGGGCTCATTATGTATGCAAAAATAGCTTGTGAACGCATTCTCATTAGAACTGACAGATGGATTACTATTTAACTCTGGATATCTTGCAGAGCCAATGAGCTGAGTAGATATTAGGATCATGAGGTCAAAGTTCAAAGGGTCATATATGTATATGAGAAATTGTTTGTAATCACGATATTCTGAGAACCTGTTAATGGATTACAATTGAACTTGAATTTGAAAAATTTCTTCTGTTTTGGTTTGTAAAATTGCTCTATGACGGAGGCATCATTTTCGACTGCGCGCAGTCGAATTCCATCTAGTTCTTTTGTATACAAGCCTTTTTCGGCACCCCCCCCCTTTTCAGCAAAAGTCCAGTGTGTAAAGTCAATACGGGTCGACCTTTTTCTTTTGTTACGAAAAGGACATTTTGGCAACACGCATGGGGTCCGTCCGTTCTCGGAGTGGGGGGGCCGGGCTTTGGCATCAATGGCCATGGTAAGATGGCTCAACAGCCAATCAAAATCAAGGTTTCCATGGTAGTTACCATTGATGGCAAAGTTACCGTCAATGGTAATTTTTGTGTAACAGGGCCCTTGGCTTGTATTCATTCAATCTTACTACCGAACATCTCCCTGTATAAGACCCACCTGTATATAAGACGCACCCCTTTTTGCAGACACGGCCGAGAAAGAAAAAAAAAGTTAAACAATTTAATTTAATTTGTTTAAATATGTTTTGTTTACTGTTGATTTATGCCCCTCCACCTGGCACTGTGCCGGGCGATGCTCACAAGTTGTTATTGTAGGTAGGACAAACATGGTGTGTCCTACCTGACAACACGTAATATATGCAATTTGCATTCTGACTATTAAAATACAATTGTCTGTAAAATAATTTGTAACAAGGCACTTAAAGATGAAGTTGAGTTCTGGTTATGCGATTGCATTGTGAAACAAACGTTGTGGAATCGATCAGAATAGGTTGGTCATCTAGCATATACGTGTTGGTGTGTACTGCAAGGTTCTGGAATCATCAAAATGATCAGAAAGTTGGCCCAGTCTCGGTAAAGTTACAAGCACTTTACACAGAAAGATGTATACGGGACTACACGAACATGTGGCATAAAAATCCGTCCCGATTTTTATGATGTTACATGCCATATTTAGAATAATAAGGTATTTGAAGAGCCATGTTTTTCAGGGGCCATTTTTTATATGATGTTCTTCTACACTTGCATAATACAATGATAACGCTCACAAATTATTTTTCACCTCTACCCAGAACTCAACCTTCTTTTTAACAAAGATTTGTGCATTAAATTTGATTACACTACTAAAATGGCCTATTGAGTATGAATAATGTATATTGATGAACGTTCGTACAGCCACCCTAACCTTCTCACTTGTATTCTGTTCCTCTCTTTTCTTTGGCTTGATAGATAAGAACGACGGTGAGTGACTTTGCTGTTCTCATTGCTGTAGTGATCATGGTTGGAGTGGATAGACTGTTTGGTGTTGATACGCCTAAACTACTTGTCCCATCAGAATTCAAGGTTAGTTGATGCTTTACGTATAGCCTCAAGAGACTTTGACATCACATAATAGTATATTGCTGTAAGACCACAATCTTTATGTTGATTCCTGACAAATTGCGGTTTTTGTTATAAGCTAGTGAAATCTTTGCTTCTGATTGGGTATCAGTGGATTTGTCACTGATTTTTTGTTGTGTGTCATTGAAAAAAGGCTTTGTGAAACGGGTCCCTGGTGGTGATGAAATACATGCATCAGCATATGATTATTAATGTGCAAACAACTGTTAATAATCATTCACTAAAGTTTCATGTTTCTGAAATGGTTTGTTTTTTTACCATTGCTTTCTTATGTAGGACTAGATGTGTTTGTCATTGTCCTCAGAATTATCATTACTGGTAGAGATATAAGTGAATTAATCACTGGACAACTCCATGGTAAAGGCCTGATAATTACACAATTTCAATTGGTTTCCCGATTTGTTTCTTCCCCAATTCCCCCCCCCCCCCCCCCCCCGATTTTACCCCAATTTTCTTACTCTAAAGGGGGGGATGTTGTTAGATGACATTTTTTAGTGCTCACTATCAGCCGTGATGTTATGTTTTCATTTGATGTTGACACCAAGCGTTTTGTTTTAATTGATATTTGACCTGATCCATACTATAGTTAGGCTTGCAAATTATACAGTGAGCAAATATAAGGAAATATGGGATGTGGTCTGCAAAATATCTTGGGACTTTCCCTTCTATAACTTTCTTCTCATGATAATTAATGGATATATAAATTGATGATTTCATTCCCTCCTCTTCTAGCCCACGTCTGACTTGCGTAAGGGCTGGTTCATCCATCCTTTCAATGGTAACGGTTGGTGGACGGTGCTGGCTGCCATCATCCCGGCTCTCTTAGCAACCATCCTCGTCTTCATGGATCAACAGATCACTGCTGTCATCGTCAACAGGAAAGAAAACAAGTTCAAGGTCAGTCATCAAGATTAAAAGAGAATATTGAGTACTGGTTAAAAAAAAGTGTGAGTTCTGGGTAGAGATGCAAAATAATTTGCGAGCGTTTTCATTGTATTATGCAAGCGAGGAAGAACAGAGCAAAAATGTTCCCTGAAAAGCATGGCTCTTCAGATGCCTTCATACTCTAACAAGTAACAGCTTAAAATGAGGCCTGATTTTTATGCCATATGTTTGTGTAGTCCCATATACATCTTTCTGTGTACAGTGCTTTTACCTTACCAAGACTGCTAAATTTCTTATAATTTTGATGATTCCAGAACCTTGCAGTACACACCAATACTTATATGATCAACTTTTCTGATCAATTCCACAACTTTCATTCACAATGTAATCGCATGACCAGAACTCAACTTTATCTTTAAAGAGGAGGTTCAGTTTTGATAAAGGGGAAATATTTTGTGAGCTTTCTTATTCTTTTGTTGGAGAGGTGGAAGAATATCCTAGTAGCATGTTTGAAACACAACTAGAAATATTTCAAAACTTTAGACACTGTTTCAAAGTGACATGTGTTTGCAGTCCATTATAGAAGTACACATGGATTGCTTTATACTTTTTATAATTTTTAGCAAGACTGATTCTATTTTGACGCCTCCGTTACGAAGTAGCCGGAGGCATTATGTTTTCGGGTTGTCCGTCTGTACGTACGTACCCTGATTCTCTTAGCCAACCAGTTAAATGTTACTTTCTTAACAGCTGTTCTCGTTCTTTTAACCGTTCCAACGATGCAGAAAGGACTTGGTTACCATCTGGACCTGTTGGTTGTTGCCGTCATGTTGGGTATCTGTTCTATCATGGGGTTGCCATGGTTTGTTGCTGCCACTGTTCTCTCCATCAACCACGTCAACAGCCTGAGGGTCGAGTCGGAATGTAAAGCACCGGGGGAGAGACCCAAGATTGTTGGTTGCAGGTCAGTTGTTGTGACAAACTGTATGGTATCTAGATAATGTAGTGCAAACTTTCCTCAGGCTCTCTATTGGTTACTTACTTCATGTACAATGTCAGCCATCTTGGCAGCCATTTTGAAGATGTAGTAAAATAAAGCAGAGCAGCTCAAGTCAACAATCATGTCAGACTAGTTTTGTCTCGTGTGAGTCTTACAACTGGTGGCAGCGGTTGGATCGAAATGACTGGATTTTGTTTCTTTAAAAAAGAAAGGACTTGTACAGAAGGAAAACTTAGGGCAATATGTTAGCACGTCTATAACGACATGTCTGGAACACAAATGTGTGATTGTTGAAGAAAAAAGTCTTAATTTTTGTCGGAAGTAGAACCATGTCATTAGGAAACCAAGCTTGTAAATGCATGTCCTACCTTGATAAGGCTTAATGTTACCTAAACTTTGATAGTTTGAAGAAATGTTTTGTGTAGAATTTTTTTTGTAAGAGCAATGTTTTGCTTTGTAATTTAATTTATGCTCCTTTTCAAAGACACAGATGTAAATGTATCAGACACCCTAGCAAAGACTTGTTAGTCTTCATCCCTTCTAATTCAATATATGTTTTATTTTGTTTTAACAGAGAGCAGAGAGTGACGGGTGTTATGGTCTTCGTCATGATAGGCTTGGCTACTCTCATGACTAAGATTTTATCTGTAAGTATGCTACAATGTAACACCCCCCCCCCCCCCCCCCCTCCCCCTTGCCCAGCTTGAGTTGGTAATCTGGCTTACCATAATATTAACAAATTTACCAACAATAGTTATTATAGTAATTTTACAATAGTGTGCTAGTCCCAAATAATATCACATTAAAAAAAGGCTAATAAGATGTTTTTGCTTAAAAATTGTACAGAAATATACCCCAAAAAAAGATAAAAAGAGAATAAAGTCAGGGTATTAACAAAAAAAATAGTTCTGTTACTCATAGGCAAGTGAACCCTCACATAAATGTTTGGTTATAAAAAAAAACAAGTTATCAAATCAAACATGTTATCAGCTTCTTTAATTTTTGCAAACAATGCTCACAGATCAATTTATTTAAACAACGAAAGTCCTCAAATATTAATGTTTATATAAGAAAACAAAATTCCATTACCATTTGGACCTATCAAGTATTACACTTTTCGCTGGGTTTTTAGCTCCATTATGCTGTACATTTTACAATCTATTTCTTATATTCTCTCCTCTCTCAGTATGTACCAATGCCTGTTCTGTATGGAGTGTTTCTCTTCATGGGTATCGCATCACTGAAAGGTGTTCAGGTAATAATAATGACAATTTATTCTTGTATAGCACATAACACATGATATAAAGTCCCTACACGCTTCCAAAGAGCTTTGGAAATGATTACCCTAGCCTTGCCTCTGGCAGCCATTATCGGCGCACAGTGCATTTCAAGGAATAATCCTACCAATACCCATTTACCTCACCTTGGTGGAGTGTGGCAAATGTAGATTAACGTCTTGCCAAAGGACGTTAGTGTTGTGGCAGGGAATTGTACCCCGTACCTTGTGGTTCACAGTTCGGAGACTTACATGTACCCCTTCCCATTATCATATGCTTATCTTGTAAATGGAACAAAAATATTTGGATTATATTGTACTCCTGAAGTCATCTGCATTACGAGAAAAAGCATATATAACTTGGAAGGTGAAAGTGGTATCGGCTTCTTGTTCATTGTAACACTTTCGCGCCCATGCTTTAATTTCCTTAACATTACACCTCTCCCATCTCCTTCATTCACCCCTGCAGTTTGTAGACCGTCTATCGCTGTTCTTCATGCCTCTCAAGTACCAACCAGACTACATCTATCTGCGTCATGTCGGCATCAAGAAGGTGTATCTCTTTACCTTCATACAGCTCATGTGTTTGGTTGTGCTATGGGTTATTAAGTCAACCGATGCCGCTATCGTCTTCCCAATCATGGTAAGTCATGGCCATTCAGAGCTTTAGGGAAATGTGTGTGTGAGATGGATGATACAGAGATGCCAACCAGTACGGATTTCCCGTAATTGGTACGGAAATTAACGACCATTACGGCAGTACGGAATGTTGTCTAAAAGTTACGGATTAAATTTTTTTTTTTTTTTTTTTTTTTTTTTTTTTTTTTTTTTTTTTTTTTTTTTTTTTTTTTTTTGGCGCATAGGGATCTATCGTAGCAAGTGCTGTGCATTATGGTGGCCATCCATGAGAAAGATGGAAAAGTATCAAGTATTCTCTTAATAGAAGCCAATTTTTCATTGAAAACTTATGTGTTGTGATGAACTGAAAGTCAATATTTAGCAACTTTGTGGGAGTAAAATCACAAAAAATTTCAGATAATCATGCGCGCGTGCGTCCGCCTGCCATTCTTTTTAGATTCATGACGCCGCATAGGAAATTACTGATTTATTCCCCAAATTACTGATTTCGAGCCTTATGATTACTGATTTTCTGTTCTGGAGGTTGGCATCTCTGATGATAATACTCCTTTTTTTTTAAAGAAATGTGGGACTTATTCCTGTACACTCATTTGATAATGATAATAATTATAATAGAAGGTTCTCATATAACGCTCGTGTCTGTCAAACTTGACAGTCAAGGGCCCCATTTCATCAGTGACAAATCACAGTTTTTGTTATGCGCTACTAAAATCCTTGCTTCTGATTGGTTATCGGCAGATTTGTCACTGATTTTTGTCATTTGTCATTGATAAAAGGCTTTGTGAAAGACCCCCCTGGTGCTCCAATGTTGATACCGCAGCTTTAGCATGGCTGCTATTACAGAATTCCAGCATTTCAAATGACAAAGTCCTACTGGGTACCCATTTTCTTCACCTGAGTGAAGAGTGGCAAGTCTTGTAAAAGGATACTAGTACGTGACAGGGATCCAAACTAAGTACCTTGTACTTCATAGTCTGAGGACTTATCCACTAGACAATAATGTCTCCAGATTAATTATAAATGAGAATTATTTATTTTGGTATAAGGTTCGATTCTTTTGAGCAGACATGGGAACATTTTTATGCCTTCGCAACAAAGTAGCCGAATGTATAATGTTTTCAGGTTGTACGTCTGACCGTGCTTCCTGTTCTCGTGATCCCGTTATCTCGATTGATGGATTCCCGCCATACTCAAATGTTCCAGTAGACTAATAAAAATGACTTGAATTACATATATGCTGGGAATATCTGAACAGAAGAGAACATAATTGGTCGGTTTGGTCCTAGACCACCTTTGAAATAATAAATGAAATAATTAATATAATAAAATAAATGAACGACTATGAGTAGCACTGTATTACCGTTCAATTCATGTTTGACCTTTGACTTTTGACCTATGTCAGGTGTTGGGTATGGTAGTGGGGAGGAAGCTAATGGACTACGTGTTCACCAAGCAAGAGGTGATGATGTTGGATGATGTCATGCCTGAAATGACCAAATGAAATAAATAAATGACTATGACTAACACCTTTGACCTTCTGTTTGACTTTTGACCTATGTCAGGTGTTGGGTATGGTAGTGGTGAGGAAGCTAATGGACTACGTGTTCACCAAACAAGAGGTGATGATGTTGGATGATGTCATGCCTGAAATGACCAAATGAAATAAATAAATGACTATGACTAACACCTTTGACCTTCTGTTTGACCTTTGACCTATGGCAGGTGTTGGGTATGGTAGTGGTGAGGAAGCTAATGGACTACGTGTTCACCAAACAAGAGGTGATGATGCTGGATGATGTCATGCCTGAGATGACCAAGAGAGCCAAGCATGACCGCAAGAAGAAGCAAGAGGAAGAGGTAGCAGCCTGTGAACAGGTGAGAAACAAAAGAAATTATAACAATGATAATGGGGTGGTGGAAATTGTATCGATGATGAAGATGAAGACGGTGATGATAAGGCGTTAACAAAAAAAATGTTGTATTGCCCTTTGCGACCGACCCCAAAAAACTTAAAATCTACTGGCGCTTTTTAAAAAAGTTTATGTTTTTATTTTTACAGTTTTTCAAACAAAAATGTTTAATGAATACAAAAATATGTATAAAAGCATTCAAAACTGAGAAATATCAGCCCAAAGAGGGAGGAAAAAGAAGAAAAAAAGTTTTTAAATATAAAAGATTTCTGATCGACCGACCCATGTTTTGGCACCTAAAGGGCAATACAACATCTTTTTTTAAAAGGCCTAATGGTAATGGAGATGATTATGTTTGCCAAGTTCCTATCATAAGAATGATAATAGCAGTTGGATGTATAAAACCCTTATCCCCCTGAGAATACAAAGCACTAAATAATTTTATTTCCCTGGCTGTTTGCGAGGTACAGTACCCTCAGGTGCTCAAGCATTCAAGGAATTTCTTTCTACCAGGTACCTGTTTACTTCATGAGGATGGAGAGTGGCAATTGTTGATTAATGTCTTGCCAAAAATGTTGGTGCTATGGCAGGGATTCAAATCCTTTGCAAAATGGTCGGTAATACAATGTCTTATCAACTAAACCATAATGCGCAGTGCTTATTACCCCTGTCAAATTTTCTGCTGTGTGGTCCTTTAGTGAGGCTTGTATATGTTGGGGTTTATTGTTCATGATTATATAAATAACAATCTATTTTCATCACCCTGAGTAAACTATTACCTGAGCATAAGCCTGATACCCAATAATCCTCAGTATTTCAAGCGGCCATCTCTTGACACAAGTTGACTTGAGAGAGAGAGAGAGAGAGAGAGAGAGAGAGAGAGAGAGAGAGAGATACAGAGAGCCATAAAATGCATTGCCTATCCAGTCTGCTGTAATATGAGTGTAGGCTGTATCTTATAGAGGGCGCTATCATATAGAGACTTTCAAAATGATTGAATTCCTTCCCACTTACTTTGTTACATTAGGTATGGAGAAGTTACTTCAAATACCACATCATTTTATTTAGAGGGTTTTTTTTTTTATATGTGACTTCATTTTATCTGGAAATGTGTGCCCCTTGTATCATTTGGTTTCTCTACCATTGAGAGCTGGTTATTTCCAAATGATTTTACAAGAGTCTTTATTTACTTCTCTCTACTCTATATTACACCCGTCTTGAAAGTTTGTGTGCATGTTTGTGCAGTGATATTAGTAAACATAATACATAATAGTAATACATGTTTATGTTATATTGTGTTAATGAATTTTGCTTTGTTTGTTTGTTTGTTTTAACTAGACAAACATTAATCATTGCTTTTGTAGAGTAGTACTGATCAATGTGTAATGATAACACTGCTTAATTTCATTTCGCATAATTGTCCATCTTAAATTATCATGGAGTCATCAGATTTGAGACTGAAAGAATGATGTATTTATCTATTATGTTTTTGCTGTTATTTGTTTTATTCTTACCAAGCAGGGCGTCATGGAAGACCACCGAATTGGTGATATGTGCCACCCTGTATAAATATCAGAAATAAATAAATAAATAAATAAATATTTTTTTCCTCCCGTAACAGTTTCAATTCCTCGCCAAATTAAAAAGATTGGGTTGCGGTATAAAGTGGAAGTATAAAAAGGTGACAGTATAGTGCATGTTCCCTGCCTGAGATTTAGTGAACCCTCAAAACAGTATCAAAAGACAATAAGGAATTTACTTCAATTTTCAAGAAGATAGCTAGCAATATTGCTTTAAGACCTTGTATAGTTTTAATGATGTCTGACAGTAAACTACAATGGTCTTTTAATTCATTCTTAAATTGAATTGGTCAGTCCTGATAAACAAAAACATTATTGAATTAAAGTATTGAATTATTGGCATGATTGAAAAAGAGAGTTTACTTAGACTATTAAATGAACCAGGCTGTTTTGTTTGCTAATAAGCCTGTGGTAACGAGAAAATCAGTAGTCACTGGATTGGAGCTATTTTTTTATTTTTTTTTGTAATGAAGAAAAGAGATGGCTTTAATACAGAAATCTTCTTTGTCTAGGGTTGTTTATTGAGGATGTATGTGTCGATTTATTTTTATAGTTGGTTGATTTCTTCAACATCCAGAAATTTAGACCGTCACAAAAAATGGTATTTTCAGTACCTCTGCGCAGTTTCCAAAGTGGCATTACGGGGTTAAGAATAAATAAAGACATGGAGCCCCAAACAACGATTTTTAGACCTTACACAAATGATGGTCTCAAGCATGTATATTGTGCATGCATAGCATGAGGAAGGTCTAACAACCTTTTTGTATGGTCTACTTGAGAGTCAGAAAGACCCTCGTGTCTTTCTGGCACTCAACTGACAATGTCACATCTCTAACCCCTCAGGTTTGCACACAAAAAACTGATCTCTCAAATTCACTTTTAAAAAGACTTACTCATTGACCATCGTTTGCACATCTATTAACCACTCACTAATTATTGGGAGAACAAACATAGAAGCCAAATTAGAAAATATTTAATTCTAAAGGACATTTGTAATGTTTTTTTAAAAGAGTACGATGCACGATGTTCAGGAGAAATCACAAAATAAAATCCAAAAAAGAAAGAAATATGAAAAAGATAGGTGTTCCCTTTGAAAATTTGCAGACCAGGAGGGTTAGCTGACGATGAGAGCCTTTCTTTGCTCTTAAATTTTTGATATTGTAGGTAAAAACCAAAGTAATTTTGTTTATTAACAGGGAAGAAAACGTTCGGACACATTTCAACTTTTACAGCGTGCATCGGCCATGGCATCTCAGGAACAACCTAAAATGGTATTTGATGTGAATTATAAGGTAGCACGGATTAATTAGGATGACTAAACTTTTTATGACCCCAAACCTTTTTTTTTTGTCCAGTGTTCTGCTTTTCCATTCCACTTACAAACTGTTTGTTAGAAGAAACAACCCACAAGAAAGAAGTTTTTGTAAAATCCAATTTATTTTAAAGTATAAGATTAATCTCCCATACCATAGATGATTAATTGGAATGCTATGTCATGATAATACAAATAATTCATTTTTCTTTTCTTAACCTTTTGATTACCGTAGTTAGAAATTACCTGATTTTTTCCAGCTTACGCGAGCATTGATCAGGTTATAATAAACATGTAGAAGAAAATTCAACAAATTTTGGACAAGTCATCAATATAGGATGTTATGTGCTATCATTTTTTTAAATTTATATGCATGATAATGATTTACACAAAATATTCTAACATTTTAACAAGTAAAGAGATTTAAGAATTAATTTATTCATTTTGGGTTTGAGGGTAGTACACCTCAATCCTCATAACACTTTACATCACCATTAAAAATAAAAGGCTTTATTTTTATTTTTTTAATTGAATACTGGAGCATATCCTTACTTTCATGATTGCTTAATATGACTGTGTAATGGTCAGTGAAGCTACTTCTAGTGGCGAACCTGAATATTAATCAAGCTTCCAAGTTTCATAGTGTTAGGTAAAGTGAATGGTAGTAAGCATTGTATCACCAGAGGGGGTTAAAGAAAATATTGCATGCATGGGTGACAAATATTCCACATATCAAGAGGTTTCCTATTAAGTAGAGTAGTAAGTGGACTGTCAGTCATTCACCACAAGAGGGAGCTAGAGAGAATACTACATGCATGAGCTGTACAGTAATTGTCTGTCCATACACAAATCTTTCTTCTCTAATGCATGCTACTACTGCTGGAATTTGATCTAGATATTTAAAATGACTTGGGATGTTTAGAGACTGCAATTCATTCCAAGTGTGCATTTTTTTTGCTATTGTATGCAAACAGGCTAAAAATGGTTCAGCAATGAAAGAGAAACTGAAAGATGAAGAACCAGCTTATTCGCCGCCACCGTCATCGCCTAAACCTACAGAAAATCTAGAAGAAACTGAATCGGTACTGCTTGGAATGGAATGGTGCTAGTAATGCATGGGAAAGAAAAGGGTAGGGGGTAAAAGCAAGACCAGCATGAATTGATATGAATGGGACTACACACAATTAGGATGCTGTTTGCTATGCAAGAATGATTTGAATGAACAAGGATGTGGTAGTACTTCTCTTCAAAGAATAAGTGGCATGCACTATAGTTCACACAAAAGAAAAAGATGAATGAAAATAATACATTATCATTTTGAGGAATCGCACAGCAGCTTCCCAATATTGAACAACAGTAAGAGCCATGCCGTTGGCCTCTGCCACGTCCGTCTCGGTGCAATTGTCAATGAAAGCAAAAGATTCAAAAGGAAATTCATTGATAGTACATGTAGTAGTTTTTGAATTTCATTTTAGATGAGAATGTGTAAACATCTACATGTCTCAGAGCAGGATGAAATAGAACGTTGCATGAATCAGAAATAGTCTTGGACATGTGAAATGAGAAAGGAATGGCCGACTTAGGCAAGATCTCTTTCAATATGGCTGTAATGAATGAGGGCATGAGCATGGAGAGAATGTGCAAATATTCTTTCACCCCCCCCCCCCCCCCCCCCCTCCCATCTGATTTCACTTACCAGAGTGATGTGACTCAGGCTTAGCTATTTAATAGGAGCATTGTCTCGTTTTAATTTCTCTAGAGTTATGGTTATGAAGAATACCGGGACTCAGAGGTATCAAAGGAAAGAATGAAATAATAAGAAAAGAGATAGAATCCTCATAAAAGGGAATGAAGTATTTGCATGTTTGAAGTCACCAAATAAAACCACTCATGCAATCGTAATTGTAGAATACCCTTTGAACTTTGATTGCGTTAATTATACCACTTTGACAGCAAAGGGTTTACTTTTAATCACATTAAAATGTGGGAAATTTGATTCCTGAAAGTTTTTCCCATATGACCACAAAGTTTAGAAACTTGTCAAGTGGCTTGGACCACTTCTCGAGCTGGGTGCATGCATACATGTAGATCTCCAGTTTGAGTGATATGAGCATGCACAGAATTCTTGATTATTTTTTTTTTAAAGTAGCATGGTGATAAATTACTCTTTGGAATAAAACTATTTGATACTTTTCCCCTTATTTTTGGGAAAACAAAATTACAGAGCCTTACAATAATTTGTATTTGTACTTAAAGTCTTCGCATGACTGAAATGGAGACAAAGATTTCCTTCAGAAGTGATGAACTCTTCGATTTCAAAAGCAGTAAATTAAACATTAGCTTATAAGCCTGGTTTTGATAGCATACTTGTCAGATGGGGCCATATTTTCAAGAGCAAGTTACAGAGGTAGTCAAATATTTTCACATTTTGGCAAAGATGTGTGTTTAAAGTGTTTTCATTGGAACACTGGTCTTTTGCTATTACTGATTATGTCATTCCTCCATACCTTCTAGATCATTCAAGATTGTTGTCCATCTTGGAGTGGCCTTCCAACTTATCCTCTGCTGAACTAACCCAGTGTGGTAGCCACCCAAATCATGGCAATAAGCTAATCATTGTTTCATTATTTTGCAGATTGTAAATCTTCCAGGCCAAGTCTAGGTGTCTCTCTCTGGAGCTGATCTGACCCTCAACTGAATTAAGAATCTGTTCCATTACCCATGCAAAGAATGGTTTTAACCTAACAATTATCTTTATCTTATTTTTTCTTTCTTGAAGAAAGTTCCAGGCGATGCCCAAATGCCTCTCTCTGAAGCTCATCATCAGTTGAACGATGCATGCTACAGCAACAATCGCTTTGCCGTCAATAGGCCTGTCTTGATCAGCTCGAGATTGCCAAATGACCCGCTATTTTAACTATCCCGATCGCAAATTATCCAGTTAATTTGCGTCTTCATCAGCCCGCAGTCGCAATTAGCGGGATATTTGGTCGAGATAATCATTCCAATATGACTTGGGCCAGCTTGCAAAATATCCCGCTATTTTTCCGGTGCGTCTTTACCAGCCTGAAGATGCGCACAACGCGGGAATGCTGAGCAAAATTTCTTGAGCTCCAGTTTCGAGTTTTGAGGTTGAGTCTCGAGCTGATGAAAAAGCGATTTGAAACTTCAGGCTTATTACACAAATCAGAAATAGCGGGCTATTTAGCAATCTCGAGCTGATGAAGACATACCTATTGTCCCACAATATAAACACATTCTCATCCTGGATCATTCTTTTTGTATTATTGTTTTGAGATCAAGAACATTCCAGGCCACGTCCACGTGTCTCTCTTTGAAGCTCATCACCAGTTGAACGATGCATACCACAGCAACAATCGCTTTGCAGTCATTGTCCCACAATATGAACACATTCTCATACTAGGTCATTCTCTTTCTTTTATTTGTAGATCAAGAACATTCCAGGCCGCGTCCAAGTACCCCTCTCAGATGGTAACATGCTGAGTATCCCCGTTGATAAGGTAGAGTTCCATCCAGAGGTTGCATGCATCAACATTCCTGAGGACATGGCCAAGACCGGTGTCTGGAAAGCACTGGCTAAGAATGCTGAGGGCGGTCAAGTCGTCCACAGAAAGCCACATGGAAAAGAGTAAGTGGGACACACATCTTTTGTTTGATCTCTATTGAGAAATTGAAAAAATGGAAGGGTTTGAACTCTTTCACTTTAAAGCAGGACTGCACTACGTGTAGCTACTTGCGCCCTCTATATAGCAAACAATGGCTATTGCGGTCCCCTTTTTCTTATGTTAATTGAGAGCTGATTTGATAAGATAACCACCTGTCACTGACCACGCAGGGAGGTCTAATCCCTCCTGGCCAAACTAGTGCAGATAGGCTTCAAGTTTCAATTAAATGCAAGTAATCATGAATGATGAATATAAATATTTTTTTAAACTGAATATTACACATTACAGGATCTAGTTAATAAGCATGTTGTATTTTCAACCTAATTAGTGTATAATTGGATGATTGGGTATTGTATTTGATACATCTCTGCTAATATCAACAAAATCTATATGTTGTCAATGCAGACTTGAATTTGGAAGTGTACAGTAAATTGCAACAGAGTGTTTAATCTGTGAAGCATACATTTACACACAAAAAAGAGAAAAAAACATAGAACTCTGCATTTGCCATGAGGTACTTGACCTCTGTTTAGTGTTACATTTAAAGACTTAAGTGGCACTTTCTCCTCCTGCTACCTACAGGAAATCCAGTAGCGGAGGACGTCCTAATCTGGACCTACCCACAATCCCTGGCAGCCCTCGGGAATCGTCGTATCTCGAGACCCAACGAGGGAGCATCCAGGAGGTGCGCATCGAGGTCCCTGAGCAGTTCCGACGCACCCCGTCTCCACCCCCAACCCACATCGGTACTGATAACGAAACCTCTGTGTAAGTACAAGAACGTCTCAACTCCATCGGTGCGATGCCGACCGACGCAGCAGTGTCAGGAGAGTGCGCAAGCAGAAGGCTTCAACTGCAGTCTATATGATTTTGACTGACTGGTAAACAAATATTATTGTACTTTATTTTCTTGTAGTGACATGAATATTCATGAAGTGGAATGAATATTCATCAAGATGACCGTATTATGGCAGGGAAGAAAGATGTGTGATCATGAGTTTTAGAAAAAACTTACTTTGTCATCATTTTTGTGTTATTTTTAATTTGTAGAGAGAGGTGCGTTCAAACATACATACGTGTATATTTTTTATTGATTGAAAAAATGCTGATATAACCTGTATTACCTAATGCTAGCAGCCTACTTGATTGCTGTCAAAAGCTACAGGACTTTGAAAGATGAGGAGCTTAACAGGACTTAATGCCGCAGGAGGACATCTGTTTTAACTTATACACAAACATCAGTGATGTTTAATTTGAAATTGTATTTGATGCCATTTATTAAAGATTGTGTGTGCGAGCCTGCTGCATGGTATTTATTCTGTGCGTGTGTTTATCCGATGAGAAAATGTTACATTAGGAAAGAGATTTGTACACATTGCATCGGACGGTGCCTGTCTTGGATTTACCACTTAACATCCTATCCAAAGGATATGTTCTCGTTGCGATGTGTACAAACTTCTCACAGTGAGAATGTGAAAATTAACTATGTGGGGGTGATAATGTGACTGCGAGAAAGTAGACTAGAAATCTACAATGAGTGTGTTACAGTTAAATGGGTGATTTATAGCTTTAAGGAGAAACCCAATTACTATATATTGACTCCCTCCATTCCATAGGCTTGTACATAAACTGGAGAGTGGTATCTAGCTCTATAATTCAAAGAGATTTTATCAGACAGGGATTATATCAAAGAGAATGATATCAAGTTATTTGTCTGTAGGAGATTCTTTTTTTTTGTCCTCTTTTTTTCATGCAGACAGATTATTGGTAGATACTGAGAGACTTTGTACAAAGAAAATCATGGCTTTAATGATTCGTTAGTAATCTGACTTAACGTATATGTAAATTGGTGATACGTGATTGCATATAATCACAAATACCACTGTGTTATACTCACTTGTCTCTTTTTGATAAGGATATTTGAATATCACTTTCTTTTTAAAAACTTTCTGTATCCTCATCTTTACTCTCTAACTTCCCAGGCATATAAGCCAACATGTTTATCTAGACAGAAAGAATAGGCACAGAGGGGTTATGTAAAGAGGTCTATGTCAGTGGCATTTCTAGGTTACTATTGACAGAGACACGTGTCACAATATGTGAAGTGCCCTCTATTGAAACAGTGCAGTGGCCAGTTCACATCAGACCAAGTGAAAAAGCATCATTAATCTTACTGTATCAGAACATAAATCATATTGGGTGAAAGGTAGAAGCAAAGTGTTTGTAGATTTTAAAAAACTGATTAAACTCTTGCCAATATCAAGACAATCCTTGGTATTATTAACCAAAATGAAATGTAAAATGTCCAGGATTGGGAAGAAAAATCATGCACAAAGCTCGTGATTTGTAAATATGCTAGAAACAAGGCAAGCTCTATCTTTTAGACTGGCAATAATAAGTATATTACCTCCATTTCAGTCGCATTTTTGTGTAAAAGTAAAGCCCTTCAAAGAATATGTTTTGATGGGATAAGTAGGATAAATTATGACCTTGTTTTTAGACTCTAGTAGAGTAGACGATATTTCTCTTTTTGTCTTTTTTCCTTGTCTAAAAGTATATTTCATGAGATTTCAAGTGATGTTTGTAAAAATATTAATATTGTAATAATGATTTGAGGAAGATTGAGGAAGGAGAAGGGTAAGATTCTTGTAAACTACATGTATTTAAGAGCACTTCCAAAACCATGTGAAGATTGTAAAGAGATATATTTTGTTCACCTTATATTATGCAACTTTCTACCACTTTGAATCTTTGAATGTGCTTGTCTTTGTTTTAGTGACATTTGATAGGTCTTGGGTGTAAATTGATATCGGTAGCCATTTTGTTTCATAGTACCGTAGACCTTTAAAAAAAGAACATTATGATGTGTAATGTCTATGAAGTCTGAAAATGTTCAAGGGACCTCATGCAATCAGCAAAAGATAATGTATACGAGAGTATATTTCTAGCTGGATTGTTATAGTATTTGCAATAAAGACTTATCATGATTATGATAATGATTTATTGTTGTTAAATATCAGATATTTAAATTGATTCATTTCATTTATTTGATTTCTAAAACTGCCAACTTTGGATTGTAATCAATATGGGATACCGGTGAAGAAGTAATAAACCCAAAGCGATTGCGATTGGACATTCCTCTATTAATCATGATTAAAGGAGATTTTGGTCTTGTCGTCATACAGAGGATGTACATTTTATAAATACGTTTGAGTGTGTATTTGCTAACTAGTATATACATGTATACAAATAAACATTTGATGAAATAGAGTACACCCGTCATAAATAATATAGGACTTCATTCTTCTATTTACTTAAGTGTTATGTGCACAAATCCCTAATACAACTCATAGTGATCATTTGTAGTGGTATTAAGTTGTAAAAGTAGACTACGTATTCGTGTTTGTGTAAAAACTGTAAGCATATGTGAAACATATATGATCTTACGATGACACCTTGCTAGCAAAATATTGATGCATTTGATGTGAAGTAGTAGTCATTTGCTCCAAAATTGTAAATAAATTTTGATTTTAAAAACTAAACAAGTAATAATATATGATCAGGAATGTGTGGATGAATGATCTAGTTTGCGTCCAAGCTGGATATATGCTTTTTCTTTTTTCAAAACTCTACTTTAGTAAGTGAATGTATGAATTTTAATCTACTCTCATGGGAGACGAAATGCACGGCCTCATTGGACAGACGGCCGTTCTAGAGAGGTGGCCACTAATACAGGTTTCACCGTTTATTACCTGTACTACATGTTAATGGTACATAATCAAAGAGAGAGATAAATTAAGTGCGTTGGAAGTTTGAATTGGGAAATGCCCTTTTGCATTTTACAGCTCCTGCTTCACTTCATCATTAAATAAAAATGTTATCATATTTGCAGCATTTTATGTACAAATATCATACATACGTACTGTTGTTTAAAATGAGAGATTTATATTGTAGATCTATTGCAGTAAATATCGCATAGTGTGAACAGATCCTCTAGCTACCTCCTGGCCTCCTATTAGACTAATGTGAATGATCCCTGTGTTTAATAATGACTATTTGTAAAGCACCGTATCCATAATACTGGCATTACATATAGCATTTAATGTGAATGGATTGTAGTCTGTACTTTCCACACGATTTTGTAAATTGAATAGGTCTGTCTTGTGGTACATAGCGTGAAACGAGTTTTGATAACCATCTCTATAGAAAGACCACTATTAGCATATCCCTTCAAAATTCATCTCTCATTGAAACTTGTACTAAAGGAACCTGTTCATAAAGACCACCTACCTATAAAGACTCATTTTCTTGTCTATTATGCATCCTGTATATATCGGTTTCACTGTTTGAAGGTGTATATGGTCAAACCTGTTTATACAGGCCATGGCATGGAAAGATATACAGTAGTACAATGACTGTTGACAGGTGGCCTTTCTAAACAGGTTGAATGAAACAATTCCTTCTAGAGGAAGACAGTATACGTGTAGGGGGCCACTATATAAAGGTTGTGCCACAGAGACATGTTTAACTGTTTATACTCGATAGTCACACTTACCAATACTGCGTCATGTGTTGCCAAAGTGATATTTACTCAATATGGTTACTTATTTTTCATGATACTAGTATTGGTTGAAATTAACAAATTGCTTTGATTTGGGGTAACTGTATTTTTTTTGTTTAGTACAAGACATGCTTTGTGTTACCTTACAGGTCCTTATGTACATAGAGACCAACATATCTATATCATGCGGTGAGAATTATCAATTGAAATGAACTGCCCCTCAAATATTATTTCAGCAAAAATATACTTAAAATACTCGAAAAGTGGAAAGTTTAATTTGAAGCATGTTTGACAGTGATGATTACAATGCTCTTTACTACATGTATGTTTATCTATTGTTGTGGATTTTCTTTGTTTGTATATTACATTAAGAAGTACCAAATTACATGTAAGTACCAATGAAGTGTGTGGTTTAGAGTCGTGGAAGCGGAGTATAATGCTAGATGAATTCTTGAGAAGAAAAAAACAATTATACATTTTAATTCGAGCAGAAATATATTGAGATAATTGAGAGATGCTCGACATCAAAATGATGCATTAATGTCAAAACATTTTTGGAAGATACATGTAGTCTTCACCATTATGTTACCATAAAAACTGCAAGTTGATGTTTGGAAAACTTTAAAAAACAAAAAAACAAAACTATTTTGAAATGAAATACTTGTTTGATTTTTTTTCTTCTCAAAGGGAAATTAAATTAAAGGTAATGTATCTCATTACACAGTGACTTGCAAACATATTAAATTACAATGCATTTAACATTACAGTATTAGTTAGCCAAAGGCAATGTATTTTGGGGGTTTCCTCCTTTTATTTATTATTTATCACGGACAACTAAAGATTTAAAATTTACGAGATTTTCATTCCCATGAAACTTCCACGTTTCGGGAAAATTCCAGTTCTTATTTTCAACTTTCCAAACAACAATCAAACTTGCAATCTTGTTTTAATAGGCAGGGTTACTCGAATTATGGCTGTAGAATCTCACTTTACTTTCTCACTCGGGGTAAAAAGTTTTTTGGAGGATCAATTTATTTTAAAAATGCATCATGTTGGGTATTTGTATCCATTTTGATGCCCCCTCAAATTGACACTATTTAAAAAACCATACGATGAGAGTACCTGTAATATGAACTATTATTATGTAGGTTTAATTATTCATCAATACAATGCACTGTATTATTTAAATTATTGGTATGGGTGATACAGGCTAGAAAGAGGCCAGTGGACTCTCTTGTATATTATCTAAAAGATATCGATTTCTTGATGGAGTGCTTGTAAAAAATACTTCTATTGATTGTAATGAGAAAGATTAGCAATATTTGTATCATTAAGACATGAAGTGTGTTTATCCTATAACATTCTGTTTTCATCCTCCCTCTCTCTGTCTCTCTCCCTCTGCCTCTCTCTCTCTCTATCTCTCACTCTCCCTCCCCTTTTTTTTCTTGATGTTTGATGTAATGGTTATTCTATGCACCAGCTTGTAATTGATGGTTCATGAAAATATGTCCTGAATTCATGCTACTCGTTACTTTTAGGGAAGTATCTTTCATATTGTGTTGGCCTTTGAACAATTCCTCTCTCTCTCTCTCTCTCTCTCTCCCTCATTGCTCTCTCTTTCTCTCTCTCTCTCTCTCTCTCTCTCTCTCTTTCCCCTTCTAATTTTCATTGTCTCTTACATCAAGATTTGTATAACATCTTCAAATACTACTACACTGAGTATTATTTCATAACTGTTGATTAACTATGAGTTTTCCTCTAAAAGGAAATAAAAAAATGCCTTGTATCTGTCTTCGTACTTTTTCCTTGCAGTGTTGTTTTTTCCTCTCTTGGAAAAGGAGAGTTTTCTGAGCTTTTTAGTTCTATCATCGCACATGTTGTGTCATTCTTAATCTTGTATCTGTATTGATGATCAATTCTCCTTTATCAGCTTTGGTATAAAGTTTGTTTTTATTTCTATCTTCATTATTACTTCACTTGGAAGTATATAAAATGTATGGGTGCTTGAACGCTTTATTCTTATCTATCTGAAAAGAGTTTTGATTCTCTTTTCATTAACTT